GGAAGAAAGCTGCTCCTCTGGGAATGCAGTGGGAAGAAAGCTGCTCCTCTGGGAATGCAGTGGGAAGAAAGCTGCTCCTCTGGGAATGCAGTGGGAAGAAAGCTGCTCCTCTGGGAATGCAGGGGGAAGAAAGCTGCTCCTCTGGGAATGCAGGGGGAAGAAAGCTGCTCCTCTGGGAATGCAGGGGACAAAGGCTGCTGTGCTGTTCCCAGGTCAGATTGTATCCAGGTAGGAATGTTTGGCTCCTCCCCTGGGCACAGCATCTCCCCATGGATGATGGAATTTTCTCAGCCATGCAGGGACACTCAGTGGCCATGGACAGCAGAGATCTCCTGGAGGGAGGATTGGCTGTGGGAGAGATAAAGAAACGGCCCAAAGAGCAGCAGAGAACTGCCCCAGCTCTGACACACCCCCGGGTAAATCTTTCAACCCCAGACACCCCCAGAGCCTTCCCCAGAGCTGCTGTCACAGTGAGGCTGACACGGAGCAGACCCGGCGCTGGTTCCACGTGTCCCAAATTCCCCTCATGTCACCGCTCATCTCCAGCATCTCCAGGCAGTATTAAAATGCTTTTCTCCCCCCTTTTTCTCCCTCTCTTTCTCTTCCTGCTGCTGGAAATTCGGGATGACACAGTGCGATAAGCTCTGTCACTTTGAATTAAAGCAGCTGGGCTGGGTTTATCTGCAGCAATGTGAATGCAGATAAAATGTGATATCCCTGGGAAGTGTTACACGTTATAATTTGGCTTTTCCCCAACACTAAAATGGGTGCTGTGTGTGTGCTGCTGCAGCACCTTTGCCATATAGACACAGTTTGTGTTTCTGCTGTCCATGGGGCTCAGGGCAGCAGCTGCTGTCCCTGTGCTGGGTTAAAATGCTGCTGGGATGGGATAACCCCAATGAGCACAGGATGGATTTAAAGCCCTGTGGATGTGGCACTTGGGGACAGGGGTCAGTGTGGCCTCAGCAGAGCTGGGGAATGGTTGGACTCAATCTCAGAGGGCTTTTCCAACCTAAAGCATTCCATGATTGCATGATGGGGTACCTGCCAGCTGTGCCCATGGACCCAAGGGAGACATGCCCAAGCACAGCATTGCTTGGAGTCATTGAACCCACAGCAGCAGGAATTTCCCCATGGAAAGGGAGCTCAGGCATTGGCACTGCCCAGGGAGGTTTGGAGTGCCCATCCCTGGAGGTGTCCCAGGAATTCCTGGAGGTGGCACTCAGAGCTCTGGGCTGGGGACAAGGTGGCCATGGGGCACAGCTGGGACTGGATGGGCTGGGAGGGCTTTTCCAGCCTCAGTGACTCTGGAATTCTGAGAGTGACTCTTGGGCAGGAGTTCGGGGGTTCAGAGCAGCCAGGGGAGCTGGAGTTCCAGCAGTGACAACCAATAGTGACACCCAGCAGTGACACCCAGCAGTGACACCCAGCAGTGACACCCAACAGTGACACCCAGCAGTGACACCCAGCAGTGACACCCAGCAGGATTCAGCAGTGACACCCAGCAGTGACATCCAGCAGTGGCACCCAGCAGTGACACCCAACAGTGACACCCAGCAGTGGCACCCAGCAGTGACACTCAGCAGTGACACTCAGCAGTGACACCCAGCAGGATCCAACAGTGACACCCAGCAGTGACACCCAGCAGTGGCACCCAGCAGTGGCACCCAGCAGTGACATCCAGCAGTGACACCCAGCAGATTCAGCAGTGGCACCCAGCAGTGACACCCAGCAGTGACACCCAGCAGATTCAGCAGTGACACCCAGCAGTGACACTCAGCAGTGACACCCAGCGGGATCCAGCAGTGACACCCAGCAGGATCCAACAGTGACACCCAGCAGTGACACCCAGCAGTGACACCCAGCAGGATCCAGCAGTGACACCCAGCAGTGACATCCAGCAGTGACACCCAGCAGGATCCAGCAGTGACACCCAGCAGTGACACCCAGCAGTGGCACCCAGCAGATCCAGCAGTGGAATTGAGCTCTGGAGAAACCGGCATCAAAAGGACATGGAGCTGCTGGAGAGAGTCCAGAGGAATCCATGGAGCTGCTCCAGGGCTGGAGCCAGGCTGGAGAGCTGGGAATGTTCCCCTGGAGAGGAGAAGCTCCAGGGAGAGCTCAGAGCCCCTGGCAGGGCCTGGAGGGGCTCCAGGAGAGCTGGAGAGGGACTGGGGACAAGGGATGGAGGGACAGGACCCAGGGAATGGCTCCCACTGCCAGAGGGCAGGGATGGGTGGGAGATTGGGAATTGGGAATTCCTGGCTGGGCTGGAATTGCCAGAGCAGCTGTGGCTGCCCCTGGATCCCTGGCAGTGCCCAAGGCCAGGTTGGACACCCTGGGACAGTGGGAAGTGTCCCTGAGGTCCTCCTGGAGCCTTCTCCAGGCTGAACAATCCCAGTTCTCCCAGGCTGTGCAGGGACATGTCCCATGTCCCAGCGCAGTAATAAGAGTTAAAATCCCAGTGCTCTGATGCTGTGTGTGTACCCCCCTGTGTGGGGGGGTAAAAAACAGGATTTGATCCTAAACAACCTGGAAAAGTGGGAGAGAAGGGGCAGCAGGCGTGGAATGAGGAGATTCCATGGGAGGTGGGAGCAGCTCCAGAGGCTCCAGCACTGAGCACCAGACAAACCAGGATTTCCCGGGTTTATTTCATTAAACAGCTTCATACCCAATGGAATCATCACAACAAGGCTTGGAGAGCACAAGAACGACACCCTGGGAGCTGCCAGAGAATTCCCACACTGCTCGGCTCTCATCCCGTGGAACTCAAAGGCCACTTTTGTAGACAAAACAAAACCAGGATGTTACTGCTAAAAAAAAAAAAATACATAAATATTTACAGGCAAAACCACAAACCTACAGGGATCAGTTCTTACCCTCAACCAAAGCACTCTGGCCAAGCCTGAGTACAAAATTCCCTGTGCAATTTTTAAATCCTGCTAAAAATCCAGGTTTTCCTCAGGTTTAAAATACAGCACACTACATAAGGCAAAAAAAAGAGGAAAAAAAATAGGCATTATCATGCAGTTCTTTGTGTTTCAGGTCAATGGAAAGAATTGAAGGCAATATGGGATGTTTTCCATAGTTTCCTATGGTGAATGAGGATTTACGGATGGGAAGTTCACTGAAGCAATATTATCTCCCAGAAACAATATATCTAACATGGACAAAAATTCCATCAGTTCTTGGAAGGGAAACATGCCTAGGAGGAGCTTGTAGATTATTATCTTTGACAAAGCAGAAATTCTGAGCTGTATGAACACAAATAAACTCATTTAACCCATTGCAAAGTGCAATTTGAGAGACAAGGAAGTGGATGAAAATTGGGAATTGTCACATCTCGGCTGCAGGTCCCAGGCAGGCATTCCCGTGGAATTTCTGAGTTTCCCCTCAGCTTTACCCGATTGTTGTGCCTGGTCTCCCTCTGCCCAGGCACTGAAGGGACAGGACAGAAATGGGCATGGAGTGAATTTAAGGGACATGGTCCCTAAGCTGATCCCTCCCCAGGTAAGGAGTTCAGCAGTGACAGCAGGAAAATTCTTTAGGCATTTCTCCTGCAGAGTAATAAACAGTTTCTGCTGCTCTCTCCAGTGAGGCAATGTCACATCCACAGCACAGGGTCAGTCTGGGGCATCATTCACCTCCTCTGAACTCATTCCAGTGGAAGGATTCCCCATGGAAAGGCGTGGAACAGGGTGGTCTTTAAAGCCCCTTTCACCCCAAACCATTGTGGAGTTTTTCATTCCCACTGCCTGGAGAAAGGGAATGAAACATTTTGCAATTTTCAGTGCTTTGACTTCCATAAATGGAAGATGTTGATGTAAATAATTACCATAATATGGAATTTTTTGTTCTGATTTATAGGGTTTTTTAAATGACGTTTTTGTTGTTTATGGATTTTTTTGATTGTGATCCATCCCTGGCAGTGCCCAAGGCCAGTTGGACACGGGCTGGGAGCACCTGGAACAGTGGGAGGTGTCCCTGCCATGGCAGGGGTGGCACTGGGTGGGTTGTAGGTCCCTTCCAACCCAAACCATCCTGGGATTCCACGATTCCTTCTCCCCCCCACACAGAAACATGGAAATACAGCCAAGGAGCCCCTCCTGTCCTGGAATAATGAAATCAGGCTTTTATTGCTGTCACTGGAATGAACCCCTGTGGGTCAAATTAACAATTCCAGCATTTTCAATGCAGTTTCTCTTATTGACGTTTGAAGTCCTGCTCAGTTCCACCAAATCTGAAGGAGACCTGTAGGATTTTATGGTCTGTGCAATCACCTGGGACAGCTGAATGATGTTTTATGGTGACAACACCCCCCTGGAATGGTGAAATCTCAGTGGCTGGAATGGAAGAACCGGAGCAGCCCTGGCTGCAACCAGCTCTGCATGAATTCAGGACAAACCCAGAGCACTCAGCCCTCCCCACTCAGCAAAATCATAAAGAAATGGCTTTTGAAGCAGCTATTTCAAATGTTATTGCACCTTTCAAAATAACACTGTGTGAGTTTGGAAAACAAACACCAAACATGTTAAAATAAAGGGAAAGGAAACTCTGGAGGCAAAAAAATCCCTAGTACCAGGCCTGGCAATGGGCAGCCACCACAGAAATTTAAGGTAATTGAGATCAGAAGACAACCCAAAATGTGCTAAATTAATTAAATTCCATTTAAAAAGATGGTTATAACACACAGCATCACTTTCTCTGTCCCAGTTTTCACTGAGCCCAGGGCTGTGTGATTAACCCAGTGGGACTGTGGTTAACCCTCAGCAGGACACACGTTTGGGATGAGCCCTGTGTGAACTCCCTGCACCGGTGTGAAAGGCAGAACTGCCTGAAGAACCCGAGCTGGGCTCTCCCCATTTGTGAGAACAGGAACAATAACCATAACTCTGAAAAGCCCTACTAAATACCCAACGGGGAGCTCGTTCCACAGGGGGTGAGACTGCAGAGCTGCAGGGGCACGGGGGGATGGAGCAAAGAAGAAACCAAACCAGTGGAACAATCCAAACATGCTTTATGCACCGAAACCAGCAACAGCCTCGGGGGTACCCCTGCATTTAGCACCATTGTGAGATGGGAACACTCAGAGGACACAGTCATACAATCCTTGAAAAAAGGAGAACACGGACATGAGCGCGCTCAGGAGGATGGGATGGGATGGGCTGGCTCGGAGGTTTTATTGGGAATCATGCTAGGAGTGCTGCTGCTGGGATTTCTCCTCGCATTCCAACTGAGAGCACATGGCAGGATGAAGTCAGTTCATCTAGCACTCGTTTCTCCAAGAGCAGAAAACAGAAAGGAAAAAGTTAAAAATGCAAATTCTCTTCATCAGATCCAAAATTGTCCCGAGGAGGCAATAAATTTGCCTCGTAAACGTCTCCAAGGATCATCCCAGCCCTCCTAGCAGGAAGCAGGTGACAAAGGAGAGTACAGGCAACATCCTATGGCATTTATTATGTACAAACCTTGAGATACAGAAACAAGGCAGCCCTTGAGTGACCGGCATAGAAAACCCCGTGAGGCGCTGGCGCTTTCTGGGCGCGGGGTCAGCCCCGCCGTGCCCACCCCGCTTCCCCCAGCACAGGGCAGAGACGACAGCTCTGCAGAGGGTTGGATGGGCACGTCTCCGGCTGGATCCCAGCTCTCTCCAGACCCCAGCCCCGAGCGGGGCGCCCAAGGCAGCCGGAGCTGCTGTGCCGTGGCAGTACCGGGGACGGCTCCTCGCCCCGGGCGGGCAGCGGCCTCAGAGGGCCGTGAGGCCGAAGTTGCAGCGGCAGTACATCATCCCCGCCGAGTCCAGCCACGAGTCCGAGATGGGCTCGTACCTCTGCACCGTGTTCAGGTAGGAGGAGCCCGAGTGTCCCCCCACCACGTACAGGTGGTTATCGATCACCGCCGCGCCCACGCCTGCGGAGGAAAGCACGGCATCAAACCTTGGCAAGCAGCGGGGTGTTTTCCCAGCTGGGGCACCCCCTGCCACCACGCTCCTCACTGGCCAGAGAAAAGGGGTGTAAATCAGGAGCCCCCTCTGTTCGGGTCTGACACCCCTTTTGTGCTGTTCTCATCCCCCTCCCTACAACAAAACGACCTCCCCCTGTCCCAGTGCCCCATCAGGGAGGATGTGGGACAGAACCATGGAGTGTCCTGAGCTGGAGGGACCCCAGGGATCATCCCAACCCCATCCCTGCCCAGACCCCCAAAATCCCACCCAGTCCATCCCTGGCAGCGCTGCCCAATCCCTCCTGGAGCTCTGGCAGCCTCAGGGCCATGCCCATTCCCTGGGGAGCCTGGGCAGTGCCAGCACCTCTGGGGAAGAACCTTTCCCTGATTCCAGCCTGAGCCTCCCTGGCCCAGCCCCAGCTGCTCCCTGGTGCTGTCCCTGTCCCAGGGAGCAGAGATGGGAGCTGCACCCCAACCTGCACCCCTGAGTCTCCACACCCACCAGAGCAGTGAGCACAGAACTGCTGCCACTCATCACTGCTGAAACCACTGAGAAAACAGGAGGTAAAATTACTACTTCCTGTAATTTCCTTACAGCTCAGCATTAATAAACCGAACCTGGAGAAATCAAGATGTTTTACAGGGAGGTGAAGTGACCCTCAGCCAGAGCTGGAGTCCCTGCCACTCTCCCTGCAGGCTTTACCAGCTCAGAGGCTCATCTCTGCCATGTCCCACCTGTCCTGGGCTCCTTCATGGGCCGGCACACCGTCCACTGGTTCTGGTGGGGGTCGTACCTCTCGATGCTGGACAGGTGGGACACCCCATTGTGTCCCCCCACCACGAAGATGAAGCCCAGCATGACCCCCACCCCAAAGTTTATCCGTTTGTCAGCCATGGAGGCCACGGTCTCCCAGGAGTTCTTGCTCGGATCGTAGCGCTCCATGCTGCAAAGCAAACACAGCAGTGAGCCTGGGAGCTGGGATGGGATTCACTCCTGGAATGGCACAGATACAGCAGTGAGCCTGGGATCTCAGGGATGGGATTCACTCCTGGAATGGCACAGGCACAGCAGTGAGCCCGGGAGCTGGGATGGGATTCACTCCTGGAATGGCAAACACAGCAGTGAGCCCAGGAGCTGGGATAGGATTCACTCCTGGAGTGGCACAGACACAGCTGGCTCTGCCTGGGATCTCAGGGATGGGATTCACTCCAGGAGTGGCACAGACACAGCTGGCTCTGCCTGGGATCTCAGGGATGGGATTCACTCCAGGAATGGCACAGGCACACCTGGCTCTGCCAGGCAGGATTACCACACAGGAATAATGGAACACAGAGGAAAGAGCTGGAGCTGAGGGAATATTCCATGGTGCAGTTGTTTGGTACAACCCAACAGCAGCACCCAGAAATTGTTATCACCTGGGAAGCATCAATCACATCCCAGGGCACTTCCACAACCAAAGCAGCCCAACAGTGCTGGCAAAATTCAGTTTTAACCTATTTTTATAATATATTCAGTCAAAGGTTGGGCTCAATGATCTTAAAAGGCTTTTCCATCCCAAATGGCTCTGTGATATCTCTCCCTGACACAGCAACTGGTTCAGCCTCTCCCATGTCCTCCCTGTCCTGGCTCTTCAGGTCACACCCTAAAACCAAGAGGTTCCTCAGAGCTGAAAGCTCCTTCAGGATGTCGGGTGCAATATTTTAAAATATGAATTTAAAACGTATATCACATAAATAACAATCTATTAAGACAATATAATAATCTATTAAAATAATGTTGTGAAACTGAACACAACGCAGAGCTGAAGTGCATTTCTTTGGCTACACAGCAAATCCAAAACTGCCTTAAGGTTGGCCTGAAAATAACATGCAGAGAAAAAGCATGTGGAGAGTGTATTTATATTCCTCAGGAAAAGCAGCAAAGAGGCTGCTGATCAAAACACTGAGGGCAGGAGAGGTTTCAGGACAAAAGGGAAATGAATTCTCATCATTATTAATATTTTTGATCACTGTACAGATGGTCAGTCATTAACATCCTCATGGCTCAGAGCTGTTCCTGCCCAAGCATGGAGGGGCAGGGAAAAGGGGAAGAGGAGATCAGCAGCAGCACAGAGTTTGGAAAAGAGGGTTCATTACCCAGTGTGAGCTTCATTTAATGCCAGAGCTTGCAGGAACCTGGTGCTGCATGGCATAGCTTAGTACTCACTCCTCCAATCCTAATAAACCCAGCATTATTCACAGAATATGGAACACCCTGAGTTAGAAGGATCAAGAAGTCCAAGGATCCTTTTTCTAACAGAAAGAAGAACCTTCTCCTAAAAGAAGAACCTTTTCCTGATATCCAATCTATACCTGCCCTGACTCAGCCTCAAGTAAAAAAGTCAATGCAATTCATCATTACAATGTCTGGTACCACCCTGCTGAACAATCGCTGTGTCCCTTCCTAGGAACAAGAGTTTCATTCTTTTTTCAGCTCTTGCACTTGTAGTTTATTATTTTCCTTCCTGCAGGAACATTCAGCTGATTTGTTCCCATTTTAATGATGGAAACTGATTCCTTTGGATATAACTGGATGTCCCTGGACATCCGAAGGGAACAGAGGAGTTATAGAACACGGTGGTAGCAGGAAAAGCAGGAAAACTCCTTGGGAATGCACAGTCTGAAACAACCCCTGGAGTCAGACCAGTAACCCCCCTCCTCAATCCTGCTGTGAGCAGCAACACTAACTCAAGATCCCACCAGAATTATGTATTTATTGTGTGTGTGCTGAGCATGAGAATGCTCCTATTCACCTCAAATCAGGGCTTTTGTGGTAAAACTCACCACCCACCCTCAGATTTTGCAGGCTTGAGCTCCAAGACTCAGTAATAGGCAGGCATGCCTTTGTTTTTACCATTTTGGTAAAATCGCCTTTTAGGTGATCTAAAAAAGGGCCCAAAAAGGTGGAATGCATGAAGTGAAGGGCAAAAACAAAGATTTCCTGTTTGATTGATGGGACTGATGTGACAGTACAGCGATTAATGAGGCCCAGGATCTATTGGAGATTATTTAATTGGCTGCCCAGGGGGTTTGGAGGCGCCCAGGTGGGTCACCCCCAGCATGTACCTGTTCATGAGGGCAGGGGAAGGATGTAAATGCTGCCTGTGGGGTTTGCTGGTGCATGTACCTGTTCTTGTGAGCAGGACAAGGATAAATGAGGCTGCCCAGAGGGTTTGGAGGCGCCCAGGTGGGTCACCCCCAGCATGTACCTGTTCATGTGGGCAGGGGAAGGATGTAAATGCTGCCTGTGGGGTTTGCTGGTGCATGTACCTGTTCTTGTGAGCAGGACAAGGATAAATGAGGCTGCCCAGAGGGTTTGGAGGCGCCCAGGTGGGTCATCCCCAGGACACACCTGCTCATGAGGGCAGGGGAAGTATGTAAATGCTGGCTGTGGGTTTTGCTGGTGCCAGCTGGGCACAGCTCTCCCCAGCATGTACCTGTTCATGTGGGCAAGGGAAGGATGTAAATGCTGCCTGTGGGGTTTGCTGGTGCATGTACCTGTTCATGTGAGCAGGACAAGGATTAAAAAAGCTGGCTGTGGGGTTTGCTGGTGCCAGCTGGGCACACCTCACCCCAGCAATACCTGCTCACATGGGCAGGGGAAGGATAAATGAGGCTGCCCAGAGGCTATGCTGGTGCCAGCTGGGCACAGCTCACCCAGCACTGTTCATGTGGGCAGGACAAGGATTAAAAAGGCTGGCTGTGGAGTTTGCTGGTGCATGTACCTGTTCATGTGGGCAGGACAAGGATTAAAAAGGCTGCCTGTGGGGTTTGCTGGTGCATGTAACTGTTCATGAGGGCAGAACAAGGATTAAAAAGGCTGCCCAGAGGCTATGCCGGTGCTAGCTGGGCACAGCTCACCCAGCACGTACCTGTTCATGTGGGCAGGACAAGGATTAGAAAGGCTGCCTGTGGGGTTTGCTGGTGCATGTACCTGTTCTTGTGAGCAGGACAAGGATTAAAAAGGCTACCTGTGTGGTTTGCCAGTGCCAGCTGGGCACAGCTCGCCCAGCACGTACCTGTTCATGTGGGCAAGGGAAGGATGTAAATGCTGCCTGTGGGGTTTGCTGGTGCCAGCTGGGCACAGCTCACCCAGCACGTACCTGTTCATGTGGGCAGGACAAGGATTAAAAGGCTGGCTGTGGGGTTTGCTGGTGCCAGCTGGGCACAGCTCACCCAGCACTGTTCTTGTGAGCAGGACAAGGATTAAAAGGCTGGCTGTGGGGTTTGCCAGTGCCAGCTGGGCACAGCTCTCCCCAGCACTGTTCATGTGGGCAGGACAAGGATTAGAAAGGCTGCCTGTGGGGTTTGCTGGTGCGTGTACCTGTTCATGTGGGCAGGACAAGGATTAAAAAGGCTGCCTGTGGGGTTTGCTGGTGCATGTACCTGTTCTTGTGAGCAGGACAAGGATTAAAAGGCTGGCTGTGGGGTTTGCTGGTGCCAGCTGGGCACAGCTCAGCCAGCACGTACCTGTTCATGTGGGCAGGCCCGTAGCCCCCGATGGCATAGATCATGCCGTCCAGCACAGCGGCGGCGAAGCAGCTGCGTGTCCTGCTCATGGGGGCCACCAGCTGCCACTCCTTGACCTTGGGGATGTACTTCTCCACGCTCCTCAGGTAGGACTGGCCGTCGTAGCCGCCCAGGGCGTAGAGCTCGCCGGCCAGCACGGCCACGCCCAGCGTGCTGCGGCTCTCGAACATCCTCTCCAGGGAGCTCCAGGTGTTGGTGTCGGGGTCCCAGCACTCCACCGAGCTCTCGTGCTTCCTGTAGCTGATGCCCTGGCACACGTGGGTGGCGATGCCCCCCACCACGTACATCTTCTGCTCCAGCACGCACACCCCGAACTCGTAGCGGGGGATGCTCAGGGGGGCCAGCCCGATCCACGAGTCGTTCTGGGGGAAATACATCTCCATGCTGCGGGGGAAACGGGCAGCTGGTGAGCAAAACAACAGCTGGAATGGCTGAAAATGTCACCAAAGGGAGGGAAAACACACCCAAAAAACCACCAAACCAGCCACAGAAATGGGAGAGAGAAAAGCAAATTGGAGAGAGGGAAGCACACATCTGCATTTGCAAATACATATTTAGAAACTACAGCTTGCAGTTTATAAATATGTATTTTACGTGCATGCTGTAATTTAAACAAAATGTCAACGTGGCACAAACTAACCTGAAAAATATGCCTTTAAAACAGCTTATTTCTTTTAAACAGCATTTTAAACCTTAAATCTATACCTTAAAACTAAACCTTAAACCCAAACCTTAAACCCAAACCTTAAACCCAAACCTTAAACCCAAACCTTAAAACTAAACCTTAAAACTAAACCTTAAAACTAAACCTTAAACCCAAACCTTAAACCCAAACCTTAAACCCAAACCTTAAACCCAAACCTTAAACCCAAACCTTAAACCCAAACCTTAAACCCAAACCTTAAACCCAAACCTTAAAATACCCTTTTCTTTTAATTATACTTGGTGTGAGAACATGGTGAGTATAGTTTGCCCTGTATAAAGTCTAGCCAATCTACCTGAATAGTTTAAATTAATAAATTAGCTAAATAATTAAGAGGCTATCAGGTACAGAGGAAACGTGATCTGTTCAAAAACCATACAGGAGCAGGTGGCCCCTGGAGAGCTGAAAGGCACTGAGAGCCCAGAAACAGGAGCTGCTGAAACACCAGAGAATGGAGATTAAATATATTCTAAGTAATTTTGTTATTATGAAGCACCAAAAATCTGAAACTAATCAAAATTATACTCATAGGCTACATTTTTATAATCACTGAAGAAGGTGGGAAAGAAGCAGAGCTGAATAATATCAGGGAATTACCTTATTCACTCAAACACCTTTTATGAAGCACAAATCTCCCTTTACTTCTTAAGTCTATAAACCAAACAATTCCCAGCCCCAACATCTGGTTTAAAATCAGTGACTATCACTGGGAAATTTAACTTTAAATGACTTTGATACCTCTGAACACAGGGAAAAGAACACACAGCTCTCCCCGGGTTTTTACATGTGTTTCTCTCTGCAAGCAGAGAACTGTCCCAGAAAAGGAAATCCCAGAATATTATCCAGAATCCAGCTGTGGAACCAGTTCAGGCAGTCTGCCTGGGCACAGGGAACACTCCTGGGGCTGCTCACAAAGCTCTGCCAGCGTAAGGATGGATGTATAAATGTATATTTGGATATAAACAGCCCACACACAGTTTAACCAGCAGCTCTGGGAATGTTAATCCCATGTTCTGAGCACGCCCAGCCACACCAGCTTGGGGCATAAAGCTGTTTTTCTCTCTTTTTTGTTCCTTCTGCTCCCAGGAAGAGCCTCAGGGACGCTCTCCAGGAACTGAGGGGTTCATTCTGGAATGCAGGTGAAGGAGGAGGGGCACCCACCTGCCCAGCAGCTGGGAATGAAGCCATGATCACATCATGGCCCAGAACTCCTTCATGAAATCCCAGGATCACTGAGGTTGGACAAGAGCTCCAAGATCAGAGTCCCAGCTGTGCCCAATGCCCACCCTGTCCCCAGCCCAGAGCTCTGAGTGCCACCTCCAGGAACTCCTTGGGCATCTCCAGGGATGGGCACTCCAAACCTCCCTGGCCAATTCCATTTTTCCTTGAAACTATTCGTCCTGAAAATATCCTATAATCCCTCAGTACAGACAAAGGCAGAACTCAGCTCTATCCCTCTCTTCTGGATGGAAAAATCCAACAATTCATTCCCAAAATCTGGGAATGGCAGCCACTCAACAACACGGGATAACTGCTGGGGAGACAACTCCTGCTCCCAGAGAGGAACTTTTTGTCCTAAATTCCATCCCAGGATCAACAATGCAATGGAAAAACTGGACTGAAACCCAACCTGGCATTGCTGAAATATGTTTAGATTAGATTGGATATTTCATCAAAATCACCCCAAAATCTTATCAAAGTGAGCCCTGAGCTGTAACTCCCAGGGACAATTTTCCATGGGGAAATTCCTGCTGTGCCCACCCTGAGCCTGCCCTGGCCCAGCCTGAGGCCGTTCCCTCTGCTCCTGTCCCTGTTCCCCAGAATGGGAATTATTCCAGAGCTTTTTTGTTTGCACAAACATATGTCTGGCACAAACAAAACCCCCTAACAGTGCAAATTACTCATGAGATAAAAAAGCATTTTGAACTTGGGGCTCATCCTTGTTAAAAAAAAGAAAACCCGCTGAAGAGTTTTTATGGAAGAACCTGGGGATCATCCCTGTTTAAAAAAAAAAAACCTGCTGAACAGTTTTTATGGATAAACTTGGGGCTCCTCCCTGTAAAAAAAACCTGCTGAACAGTTTTAATGGATAAACTTGGGGCTCATCCCTGTTAAAAAAAGAAAACCTGCTGAACATTTTCTATGGAAGAACTTGGGGCTCATCCCTGTTAAAAAAAGAGAACATTCTGAACACTTTCTATGGAAGAACTTGGGGCTCATCCTTGTTAAAAAAACCTGCTGAAGAGTTTTTATGGAAGAACTTCAGGCTCATCCCTGTCAAAAAAATCTGCTGAAGAACCTGGGGCTCATCCTTGTTAGAAAAAAAGGAAACCTGCTGAACAGTTTATATGGAAGAACTTGGGGCTCATACTTGCTAAAAAAACCTGCTGAAGAGTTTTTATGGAGGAACTTGGGGCTCATCCCTGTTAAAAAAAAGAAAACCTTCTGAACAGTTTCTATGGAAGAACTTGGGGCTCATCCCTGTCAAAAAAAGAAAACCTTCTGAACAGTTTCTGTGGAAGAACTTGGGGCTCATCCTTGTTAAAAAAAACCCGCTGAACAGTTTTTATGGAGGAAAGGAACAACCACACCCCCCAAACTCTGGTGGGACTCTCGGATCTCCTCCAGCCACAGAGACTGGGGGGATGGCAGCTCCCAGTGCCCTGCCCAGGGGTGCCAGGCTCTGCCCCAGGGCCGCTCCTCACCTCTCCAGGCAGGCGAAGAGCCCGGCCTTGCCCCCCACGGCACAGAGCACCTTGGGCGCGCAGCGGGGCCGCGTCAGCAGCATGGTCTGGTGGGACAGTCTGTGCTCGGGCATGAAGTGGTACTTGAGGGCCTCGTTGAGCAGGTGCTTGCAGGTGTGGTCGTCCCGGATCAGGTGGTTGGCCTCGTAGAGGCGCGTCAGGAACTTGACGCTGAGCAGGGGCAGGCGCACGCAGTGCAGCAGCTGCGCCAGGTACTTCTGGCGCTCCTGCACGTCGTACTTGATCCAGGACTCCAGGGCGTAGAACACCGTCTCCTCCGTCACCACGTTCAGGCAGTCGCTGGACACGATCTCGTCCAGCTCCGAGTGCGTCAGCTCGAAGAACTCCTCGGTCTGGCACACGTCCTCGAAGTTCTGGCAGATGAACTTGTTGGCCGCCAGGTAGAGCTCGTGGCAGCCGTAGGTCTCGGCGAAGCGCGAGATGCCGATGCAGTTGCCGGGGTCCAGCTGGCTCTCCAGGAAGGCGCAGCACTCCTTGACCACCAGCTTGACCTGCAGCAGGTTGGCGGCGGGCAGCAGCGACTCCACGGTGTCCTGCGAGATGAAGACGGTGCCGGTGTAGGCGTACTCCACGATGGCCTGCAGCGCCGCCTCGTCCACGCACTGGAACTCCACCTCGGCGTTCTCCTTCTCCGACAGGTTCCCGGTGAACATGGCCTTGAAGTAGGGGCTGATGCTGGCCAGCACCACCTTGTGCGCGTGGATCTTGGCCTCGCCCACGCGCAGCACCACGTCGCACAGCTCCTGGTGCTGCCGCAGCAGGTTGAGGCCCTGCAGGAGCTGCTCCGAGTGCAGCGGGGTCAGCTTGGCCAGCAGGAACGGCGGCGACGACGGGTCCATCTGCGGCAAACACAGTTTGGGAGGCGTCACTTCACCTTTATGTAACTGAGACGTGCCACACGCAACACTTAAAAGGTATTTTTCCATCTCGGCTTTTGACTTAATAAGGTTTCTTACTTCCCAATTCCCTTTTCAACCCTTACCTGCTGCTCTTTTTCATGCAAGTGAAATCCAGGACCTACAAATGTCCATTAACAGTCTATGCTAGATTCAACTCTGAATTAAAAAAACCCACTACCATCACTTTTTTTTTGTTCTGCAGTAAAATATGATCTGATTGTTGGGGTGCCTGTGCAGGGCCAGGAGCTGGACTGATGATTCCTGTGGATCCCTTCCCACTCAGGATACTCTGTGATTCTACATCAAGGCTTTGAGAGAACTGAACAGTGGCTGAAATGGAAACAAACACAGAAAACTAAAGAATACAAGTGGCTTATTTGAGACAAAGTTTTCAAAGTTCTTAAACTCCTTTCATGCAATTCAGTTCCTGGGGAGCAGCCCAGTCCTGCTGTGCCTTTCTCTGGCCAGGCTTTGGCAGGGAGCAGCTTCCCATTCCCATTCCCTGTGCCAACCATCCCCACGGAGACAGTGGGGCTGGAGCGGATTCCTGTGGAGCACAGGGGAAACAGGAGATCCCCACACCGTGCCAGGAAATCCCTGCTGGGCATTTCTCAGCCTCTGGAGAGCTCAGAGCTCCCCAGGTGAGCTCCCTGGAATTCTCAGCAGCCCTTCCCCAGCGCTGGCAGCTGCCCACGCTCCCCAGGAGTGCAGAATCCTCACTCCTCCTCCGCACAACTCCTCTGCCCAAAGTCCCGTGCACGTCGTGACACCGGAGCCCTGGGTAGCTGCCCTAATTAGAGGCACCTGCTCTAATTTCAGCTCCACAGCACTGCCGGGGTGCAGCAGCTCTTTGTTCAGCCCCCAGCGCTGCGCTGCTGAGAGGTGGAGGGTAGGAATGTGTCAGGATCCTGGGCCACGGGGAAAGAATCCCATTGTTCTCCAGGGAATTTTGATTTGCTAAATGATCTGCCAGATCTCGCTTCTTTTAGCTTAATAATCAGTTCATCGTTTGCACAGCTCCTTAAATGACACCTCGCTTGCAGGTGAGCCCACTTAAAAGTGCTTAATTTGAAATAATCAAATGGGTTGCCAACGTTCAAATACGGAATACAATAGCAGACACAGGGAAGGGAAAGGGCTGGAAAACCTCTTACCCACGAAGAGATAAATAAGCTCTCCTTTATCACTCTACACTGGAAAAAATGACTGAAAGAAACTAACTCAAGTGCATCTGCAAAAGGCAAGATCAGAGACAACAATATTTTCCCTATCACCATTTTGGAGCACAAATTATACATGCAAGAATTAAAAAAAAATTAAAATAAATAATACAAAAAAGCTGTCCAGCAGCTAAAAGAACATATTCCCCTTTTGTGCTTATGTTCAGCTCCTAATTTGATCATACAAACACACAAAAACCAGGCAATACAAGGCACCACCGCAGGGAAAAAGGAACGGTCCCAGTTCAGCTGCAAAACCTGCCAAAACACCTGTAAATAACCACATTTAAGGTGTTCTGCAGCAATAAACCTTCGTGTACCACCCTGGTAGAACCCCTCACCCCCTGCAAGGCCAGGCTCGCCCATACCATGGATTCGCTGTTATTTCTTTTACTGTTTAGCTGGAACACGAAGCAGCCCTGGAATTGCGATCCGTGCTGGGGACACCAAACGGGCACCCCCGGGCTCGGGGCTGTCAGATCCTCCCAGCCCGTGGCTCAAACTTCTCTCCGACAGCAGCAGGGACTGGGAAGAAGGAGGAAAACCGGCGCAGCGAGCAGCTGAGCTGCGGGCAGTGGGCGTGTGGGAAGCAGCAGAGGAGCTGCGGGCTCTGCTCTGCTCTGTCCCGAGCAGGGACGGATTTGGGACGGGAGGGGAGCGGCTCGGCGGGCCCGGAGAGCGCCAGCCCGGCCCCGACACCGGGGGAAGGGCGGCAAAGCTGCCCCGCTCCGGCAGCCGCTGCTGTCCCCGCGGCTGTGCCCAGCCCGGTGCCTCAGCCCCGCTCCCGGCCGGGGTTCGGAGCACACCGGGCTGACAGCGGGGTCCCTGCCCGGGGTCCCCGCGGCACCGCCGCTCTCCCCGCGCACCCTGCCCGGGACACGGCACCGCCGGGAGGCAGGTCCCGGGCAGGTCCCAGGCAGGTCCCGGGCAGGTCCCGGCCGTGTCCCGGCCGTGTCCGGCCGGTCCCGCCGCCCCCGCGCCCACCTGTGCCGGGGTGCCCCGGGCCCGGCCCGGCCGCGCCGCCGCCTCGTTCCGCCGCTCCGCCGCCGCCCGTCCGTCACTTCCGGCCGCGCCGCCCCGCCAATCAGCGGCCGCGCCGCCTCACACACCCACACCGCCGGTACCGCGGGCGGAACCACGCCGCGCACCGCGCGGGGGGCACGCCGCGGCTTCGTTACGGACCCGTTCCCGCCGCTCGCGCGACGCTGCTCTTCGCTTCTCTCCGCTTCTCTCCGCTTCTCCGCCACCGCGCCCCGTCCCGCCCGCAGCGGCCTGGGGAGAAGTAGGGGAGGTACGCGTGTCACCCCCCCGCTCGCCACGGCGTGGTCGGCCCCGCGGCGCGCGGCGCCCCCTGGCGACGGCGGCGTTGCCGGGCGGGGCTGAGGCCGCCCATGGCCGCGGCCGGGGGCCATGGCGGAGCCGCCTCACAGAGCCGCCGCTCCGCGGGGCCGCGCCTGGCAGCGCCGCGGCTCCGCGCACACCGCTGAGGACTGCACGGACCCCTCCGGTTCGGGCACGGACCCCTCCGGTTCGGGCACGGACCCCTCCGGTTCGGGCACGGACCCCACCGGTTCGAGCACGGAGCCCCCCGGTTCGGGCACGGAGCCCCCCGGCCACGCTCGCTACGGTTTGGGCACGGAGGCTCCCGGAGCGCAGGAAGACACGGAGCCCCCCGGCCCCGCTAGGGACGGGCCGGGCACGGAGCCCCCCAGCCACGCTCACAGCGGTTCGGGAACGGAGCCCCGCTGCCCGCAGGAGGACGCGGAGCCCCCCGGCCCGCGGGAACACACGGAGCCCCCCGGCCCGCAGGAACACACGGAGCCCCCCGGCCCGCAGGAACACACGGAGCCCCCCGGCCCGCAGGAGCACGCGGAGCCCCCCGGCCCGCAGGAACACGCGGAGCCCCCCGGCCCGCAGGAACACACGGAGCCCCCCGGCCCGCGGGAACACACGGAGCCCCCCGGCCCGCAGGAACACGCGGAGCCCCCCAGCCCGCAGGAGGACGCGGCTCCCCCGCCGGGCCCGGAGCTGTCGCTGGTGCCGCCGGAGCTCCGCGCGCGGCTGCTGGACCGGCGGGACTACCGGGGCCGCGCTCAGGCCGTGGAGCAGCTGCGGCGGGCGCTGGAGAGCTGCAGCCCCGCCGCGCTGGGCGCCGCGCCCGCCGCCGCGCTGCTGGGGCTGATCGCGCTGCTGGACGCGCTGCTGCACGACCCCAACTTCGCGGTGGCGCGGGGCGCGCTGGAGGCCACCCGGCTGCTGGCGCTGCGCCTCGGCCGCCGCGTCCCCGCCGTGCTGGCCCCGCTGGTGTGCGCGGCCGCCCGGGCGCTGGGGGACGCGCAGCCGGCCATGCGGCGGGACGGCGGGCGGCTGCTGCTGCGGCTGATGGCGGCGGCGGGCCCGCGGGCCGTGCTGCGCCTGCTGCTGCAGGAGCGGCTGCTGCGGCACCGCAGCGCCCGGCTCCGCGAGGAGCTGCTCAACACCTGCACCGCCGCGCTGCTCGCCTACCCCGCCGCCGAGCTGGACCTGCCGCAGCTGGCGGCCGCGCTGGCACCGGCACTGCTGGATACCAAGCGCAGGGTCCGGCACGCCGCCATGGAGGCGCTGGCCGCGCTGGCCGCCGCCCTGGGCCCCGGCAACGCGGGCGCGCTGCTCCGCGCCCTGGACGCGCTGGAGCTGCGGGCCGGCGGCGCGGGGGTGGCCGACGCCGTGCGGGCCCGGCTGGCCAGGAAGGCGCTGCCCCGGCTGGGCGAGCGGGGGCTGGTGGAGCACGGCGTGCCCCTGCCCTCCTCCGGCCGCTGCCGCGGCACCTGCCCGCCGCCCGCCGCCGACACCGAGTGGCTGCTGATGGGCAGCAGGAGCCGCAGCGCGCACGGCCGCTGCGGGCACCCCGCCTGCCGCGATGCCCCGCACGGCCCCGCCGCTGCCCAGCGCGGAGCCAGCCCCAGGAGGGTCCTGAGCGCCGGCAGAGCGCTGAGAAACAAGCTGCCCTGGGAGAACGAGCCCGCTGCGGACAGAGAAGGAGGCTCGGGGGTGAGGATGCCTGTCACCAAGGGTGTGGAGCAGGTATGGGACTCCCTGCGTGCCTTCGTCCTTAAGGCGTTTCCAAAGGGAGGATGGAGAGTTGTCGGGGACTTGTTAAGCAAGAGATGTTTGGGATCTGTATGTTGCTCCGGGAAGGTAAACTTGGAGATTTGTTATAAGTCAGATTCAACCAAGCAATTTACTCAATTTACCAGACTACTTATCACTTACAAAAAAATATATTAATCTTTTCTCGAAGTTGGCTGTTCAGTTCTCTCAAAGCCTTGATGTAGAATCACAGAGTATCCTGAGTGGGAAGGGAGCCACAGGAATCATCAGTCCAGCTCCTGGCCCTGCACAGGCACCCCAACAATCAGATCATATTTTACTCCAGAACAAAAAAAAAAGTGATGGTAGTGGTTTTTTTTAATTCAGAGTTGAATCTAGCATAGACTGTTAATGGACATTTGTAGGTCCTGGATTTCACTTGCATGAAAAAGAGCAGCAGGTAAGGGTCGAAAAGGGAATTGTGAAGTAAGAAACCTTATTAAGTCAAAAGCCGAGACTCTGACATGTCAACAGTGACAGGTGATGAGCACAAAACTGGGGAAAACAGCCTTTATTTGTATGTTTATGTTTGAAAGCATGGGACTGACTGCACAGAGTTTCCTGTTTGTGGGAAAACTGAGCAACTCCTTCAGCTCGGGCTCTGAAGGCAGAGCTGTGGGATGGGGCTGAGCCAGGGCTCTTTGGGATGAACCTGGCGGCTGCCAAGTGCCTGTGTGGCTCTTGCTCCTCGGGCTGATCCAGCCAGGAAAAATGTAGGTCAGGCTGGAATAAGGATTCTGGCTGAGTTTGGGTGTATCACCTACTGACCACGTCGGCAGCTGGAAAGGGGAGGACCTCTGGAAAACTGTCCAGGTTCTTTTTCCCTTGCCAATGGTTCTGTGACGTGTTTTGGATACCACACATGGGGGTGTACCTCTGTGTGGTGGTTTTTCTGTTGTGTTTTGGTTTTTTTTTTTAAAGTGGACACATGTGATTTATCAGAACTTGATCTCCTGTGAGGGAGCTGGAGCAAACAGAGCTCCTCAGGAAATCAGAGGCCGTGCAGAGCAGATTCCTCAGTGCTACATTTGCGTACTCGGATTTTAATTCTCAGTTGCTTGGTGACTTGTTGCTGGGCTGGATGAGGTCATGGACAGTGAGTGCTCCTCTGCAGCCTGGCTGTGGGGCAGGTCCTTAACCAAATAAACTCAGTTCCTGTTTCTGTACTGTCAAACCTTGAAGTTCATGCCTGGACTTGAATGCTCATCTCTTTCCTTGGTGGTTGTGTCAGCTCTCCTGAGGCTCCTAAGGCATCTGTATCTTCCTGAGCTGGTGATTCAGTTCCCTTGGGGTATCAGCCAACAGGGTTGGAACAACAAGATGTGTAGGAAACACCTCTGGAGCAAGAGGGGTTTCCTTTTTGGAACAGTTTTCCAGTATTAACTAATACAGCTTGTAAAAAAAGCCCAAAAAACAGTGCCAGTGTTCTCTTGGGAGGTTGGGCCAAGCCCTGTGCTGCTGCTGTTTTTCTGCAGCTGTGAACAAAAAACAAGTTAATATAGGCACCAACTCCTGGCTGGGGCTTGGAAAGGATGAAAATTCCCTGCCTGGGACAGCCCCTCTCCAAGGAAGTCAGGGAGGGGCTCTGGAAATGGTCCTTTTCTGGAGGGAATGAACCCCTTGTACATGTGGTTGTGTTTATCTCTGTAACGTGGGAGGAGTTTCCAGCCTAGCAGAGGGAGAGAAAGGAAGCAGCTTATGGGTTCTCTTTGGTTGGTGTGTAAAGTGCCTTTGAAGGTGGGGTAAATCACCGATTCCTGGAATGCTTTGGGTGGGAAGGGATCTCAAATCCCACCCAGTGCCCCCCTGCCATGGCAGGGACACCTCCCACTGTCCCAGGCTGCTCCAGCCCCAGTGTCCAATCTGGCCTTGGGCACTGCCAGGGATCCAGGGGCAGCCACAGCTGCTCTGGCAATCCCAGCCCAGCCAGGAATTCCCAATTCCCAATCTCCCATCCATCCCTGCCCTCTGGCAGTGGGAACCTGATTGGGCACAGGATGAATTGGAGTCCTGCTGGCCAGATCCCCATTACTGTAAAGGAAACTTAAAACACTGGGGTGGTTTAATAGTGGAATATTTACCTGACTGCTGTAGTTGACACCTTTGCTGCTCCTTCTTCACTTCCTGATCCTTTGTCTCAGCACATCTGACTGAAGCTCTCTGGGGCAGGGGACACTGTCCTGTGGTACTGGTAACCAGAGAGACCAGCTGGGGCTGAGCCAGGGGGAATTTAGGTTGGAGATCAGGAAAGGTTCTTCCCCAGAGGTGCTGGCACTGCCCAGGGATGGGCACAGCCTGAGGCTGCCAGAGCTCCAGGAGCCTTTGGGCAGCACTGCCAGGGATGGACAGGTGGGATTTTGGGGATCTGGGCAGGGACAGGGGCTGGGGTGATCCCTGGGGTCCCTCCAGCTCAGGACATTCCATGGATCTGTCTTGGATGCAGGAAGGTGAATTTGTTTTCCCTGGACTGAAGACATTCCAGGAGCTGTGTGCCAGGCTCCTGTCCCTGGGCCGTGCTGCAACCAGCATCTGTGTGGGCAGTTAGCCCTGGACCTGCCCTTAGCTCCCTCAGTAAGGAAAATGCATTTATTGTGCATAAATCTCGGGTACTCGACTGTTTTCTGGACATGTCAAATATTAATTATTAATTCAGACATTCCTTTGAAATGAATTTGCTTAAAAATTAACTCTTGGGGTCATTCTGTGGCTGAAAGGATGCATGGAAGTAGCTTAATGTTTAAAGCTGTTTCCCTGCCAGATATTTAGGGTCATGTTACAGGGTGGTTGTCCGAGGCTGTGTCTAGACTTTCCTGATCAGATAAGGTGTGAGTAAAACACGTGTAAGTTAATGTGTACTAAAAATAAAAGGTAGATAAGGCACACTGACCTCAGGGGTTTGTCTGGCAGGCTCTCTGCAGGGCTGTGGGCTCTCCATCCCTGCAGGTGTCCAGGTTGGAATATTGGATATTGGAGGGTGGAAGTTCCCCCTGGGGCACACAGACCCTGCAGGCCCTTCCCTGCTGCTGAAGGAACCTTTTGGTGCCAGAGGCACCTTTTGGGGAAAGAGCATTTGAACATTTCACTGGACATTTAAGTTCATGAGAGCTGGGGGATCTCCCCTCACTTCGTGTGGAAATCTGCTCATTTCCATATTGATCTGATAACTGGAGAAGGTGATAGCTGGGCTTTGTGGAGTGTTCAAATGACCTGGTAATCTGATTTATGGAGCAAAACCTCTTTGTTTTCCAAGGATCAGAGGGACACAGAGGGTGACCAGCGTGTGGGATAAAGGTGTCCCTTCCTTGGGTGTTCCTCTGGGACCTGAGCCCTGGTTTTTCTGGAGCTGGGAGATGATTTTGGGGACAGATTGTTCTGTCTTTGTGTGGTGATGGTCTCTTCCTGGGAGAACATTGCTGATGCTGCTGGTGGTGGATGAGGAGCACCTTTGGTGTCTCCCAGTGGCACAGCTCCACAGGGAGGGAATGTTTGCTGTGATTCCAGCTTGGACACTGGGGCTTGGAGCAGCCTGGGGCAGGGGATGGGATGGGATTTAAGGTCCCTTTCCACCCAGACCATCCCAGGATTCCACCATGGGTCACTCTCAAGGGCTGTGCTTTGATAACCAAGTTACCAATTCCTGTGCTGGATGGATTCAGGTATTTTTCAGCATTTGTGGAATTTAAAGGGATCTGAGCCCTTTTGAGAAATCCCTTTGCTTGGATCTGTTACCTGCCCCAGGGAAACATCTGGCAGCTTTGAGTCTGCCGTATTTCCCACCACCAAGCCTGTGTCTAGTGACTTTGCAATGCTGTAATTATAATTTGGGTACAGGGAAGCAGAGTTTTCACTCCTGGAGCTGGGATGGGAGCAGCTGAGCAAAGCTGTACAGTCATGGCAGTGTTGGAATTCACTCCTTCTGCTTATGCTGCTTCATCTGTATGGAAAAATGGGATGAAAGTTGATCCTGTACCAGCTCCTAAGCAGGAAATTCCCTCTATCCCAGCTGAAACCAGGCTGTGCTGATTTGTACAAGTAATATTTCTTTAAGGACTGAAGGATCTGTGAATGGGATGATATTTGGTGATTTCAGGAGTGGGAATGCCAAGGTCTCACGTCTTTTATCCCAACTTGTAATAACCTGGAATAAACCATTTCAGCATTTTCCTGCTCTTCTTCTCCTCCTGTGTCCCTCAGAAAGGAGAAGAGAGTAAATACAACTTGGGAATGATTTAAATCACTGATTTTGCTAATTAAATCAGAATCTATTTAAAGCATGACATTTTCTTTGTTAAATATTGGTATTATTGGGATTTCCTCCCTACCTGTAGCCAGTTCTCAGTAAAAGCTGCTGGTGTTGCCAGGCACAGTTTTAGACTGGAGTGTGTGGTTTGCAGGAAACTGTTCCATTCTGGGATTTTGGGGTTCTCCTGTCTATGTAAACACTTCCCTGTCTAAAGCACATAATTCAAATGCTCAATGTTTAATCTTTGAAATTTAATTTTTAAAATAGTTCAATTCTCTACCATTTTATTTTGTTGGTTTTTTTCCCCTTTCAGTGTGAAAGGGAAAACCTTTAACCTGTATTTTAGTAAGACCTGCAAAGCAGCTAAAATGCTTTCTAATGCCTAAACCATTTGGACATTGGGTAGGTGTGAAAGAGCAGCTTGTGTGGAAGTGTTGGTGACGGTGCAGTTTGCAGGAGCAGGGCTGTGCTTTCATTTCACACACTTTATTTTGCTTTTGCCCACAGCTGGCCGATGGTTTCCTGCACTCCCCGAAGCTGCAGCCCTCGCAGGGAAGCCCAGGCAGTGAGGAGCTGCTTTTCAGCAGGAGCAGAGCTTCCAGGGCTTTACTGCAGCCCGGCGTGGAGCTGAACTCGGAGCTCTCTGCCCTTGGTGCTGGTGAGTGTGGCACAGGCACGTTCTGGCTGCCAAGGCAAGGCAGAATTCAGTGTTCCAGTGTGGGAAAGGAATCTGTAGAGGGAAAACCCATCACTCTATGGGGCAGAGATGTGTTGTCCCATGGGGAGTGAAGATAGAAGTGGTTTTTTGATGGAAATCACAACAATGCCTGCCACTCTGATGTTATCACAGAAAAACAATCAGCCAATTTGGATAGATCAGTGGCCTCTTGAACAGAAAAAAAATGCAATGCTCTCAAAAAATTAGTAAGTGAACAGCAACAAAAGGGCCACATCAAACCTACAAAAAGTCCCTAGAATTCCCCAGTTTTTGTCATTCACAAGAAGACTTCTGATTACTAGAGTTTACTCCATGACCTAAAGAAGATCAATGAAATCATGGAGGACATGGGGCATTTGCCACCTGCACTTCCTTCTCTTCACTGATTCCAAGAGACTGGCCTCTTGTTGTCGTGTACATTCCAGTGGCCACAAGGATCTGGACAGCCTGGGCAAGACCAGACCTGAGGGACTGTGTCCCCATGGCCCTGGCCTCTGTCCCTGTCCCCTCTGGGGAGTCCTGGCCTTGCCAAGTCTGCTCCATCACCGTGCTTGGGTTTGGAGGTGTTTGCCACCCTTCATTGTCACATACTCAAAGAGGGGATTGTTCCTGGGGTTCTTTTGCCCCCCTGCAATTCCCAGCTGGAGCAGTGCCCTGGAAGAGCAGCCAGTCCTTTTCCCTTCTTCCCTCTGAGCTGCTTTCTGAGGTTGCTTAGAGACTCTGCAATGAAATACTTGGAGTGTATTTGAGTTTCACACTCAGCTACACTGAGTCTGCATTCCCTAGAAAATATTGTTGGATATTCTCTGTTGGACACCGTGTGTGAAGTACTGATTTGGTTCTTCGTGTTCTCTTTTGGAAGGTGCTCTGGGCTCTCAGCAGCCCCAGATTTCAGGGAAATGTGGGACACTTGGATACCCACAGGCACGTGGGAAGAGTGGCAGTGTGGGCTCTGATCTGCAGTTTTTGGGACTGAGTAACTGTCAGCAGGACAAAGGTACGTGGCTTCTGCCAGTGGCTTAATACAACTTTGGAGTTGTCTCTTTGTTCCTCGGCTTCCCTAAGAAATGGAAACTGTTAGTGGCCCCTCCTTCCTGTGTGAGTTCATTAGTGGTTGTTAATTCCCAGCCCCGCCTTTGATCTCTTGGGGCAGGGTGTTAGAGAAGTGCTGCTGCGGGAGGGTCAGGCAGTGTTTGATCTTGCATCACTCTGTTTTTTGAATGTAGTTCTCCAAAACATGCATGGGAAATCGATTCAAGGCTTAAACTCACATTTGGAGGGGAATGCAATTTGCAGAATGAAGTTGGTTGATTTGTCTGCTTGCTTGGGCAAAACCTTCAGGCTTTGATTGCCTAGTGGTGCATTATTTCATGGGAAATTATTCTTATGATGGATGATTTCATTGGAAATTTTTTTCATGGTGCATTATTTCATTGGAAATCATTCTTATGGTGTATTATTTCATGGTAAATTCTTATTACAAGACCCAGTCACCACAAGCACTCTTTTGTTTTCCTTTGCTCAGTTTGTTCCAGCCTCAGTTTTTCCAGCAAGACTCAGAGAAGTTTTTGCACTCAGGCAGAGCCCACCATGTCCTTCCAAGGTCCCAGTGCCAGCCAGGGCACCTTCATCCTGCCCTCCTTCCCCCTGTCATCCCCCAGGAACGGCCCCAAGCACCTCTCAGCTCCTGCTGCCCCTGCAGGGAAGTCCCAGGAGGATCCCAGGAGCCTCTCCAGTTCCTGGCCTCTCAAAAGCTTCCAGGGGCTGCCTAAGCCTGGTTGCCAGAAGCAGCTGCTCAACCAAAAGCCAGGAGACAACACAGGTGGGAACGTTCTCAAGGTGATAAAAAGGGATTTGGGGGCTGTGTTTTGAGGGATTTTTCAGTGGTCAGAAAATGCACAGTGGCAGGTGAGAGGGAATTGGGCAGTGCCTCAGGGGCAGTTAGGAATTCAGGGATTTATTGATTTATTTACTTATGGCTTCACTGCTCACATCCCTGCAGCCTTCTCTTCAAAAGTGGAGCCTTTGGATTTGTCACAAAGCAAAAGATGCTACAGCTCTGCTTTTTTTAATGTCTCAGGGCAAGGTCTGTCTTCCAACTCAAATAATCCCCAAAATGGAGCACTTTTAGGCAAAACCAGTACAGAAATACCTGTTATTGTTCAAAGCCTAATTAAGCCATGTGCAAGAAAAGAGTTACTCAGTGCATTTTGTGGTTTTGCCTCTTATTTGAGTCATGGAATCCCAGAATGGTTTGGGTTGGAAGAGACCTGAAAACTGATCCAGTTCCAACCCTGTGGGTAAAAACACCTTAATTCTTTGTTTAGGTCACACTGCTTCCTGAGCACTCAGGAGGTTTCTGAAACAAAGTAACAGTTTCCACACAAAATTTTGCACTGATTAAAGAAATCTGTTTGAAATTTCGTCTTCACTGAGACCCATATTTTTGTGCATATATAGAAAATTTCCAACTGAGTGCTTTGGGCATTTCCTGCGCCTGGAATGTGACTCTACCTTGTAGATGTATTTATTGATTGCTTTTTTATTTTATTTATGATTTGATATTGTAATTATCATTTATTATATGTTTTCCATACACATTTTGATTTTTTATGGTTCTATGGACTGCCTTTGTTGTTACAGCACCTTCCATAGAAGTTTGGGGGTGAGTTTTTTTCTCTTAATGAAGAGAGTTAATTAATTTTCAAAGGGGCTGAGGCCATGTGCATGGACTTTGGTGACCTTTGTGCGTCCCTTCCAGCTGAGGATATTTTGATTCTATGTTAGTGTGCACATGCATTAAACACTCATTTATGTTTCCTAAAGCGAGGAGACACTAAAATTGGAATAAACTGATACCTGAGTGTGTTTTTAACACTCATTCCATGGCAGAAGGAGTTTTGTAGATGCAGAAGTGAGAAGTGAAGTTTGTCCTGGTGCTGTCCCTGACATTCTCTGTGTGTTCCAGGGGACAGCCTGCTGGAGAAGCCCCCCCTGCAGCTGGAGAAGGCCCCCCTGCAGCTGGAGAAGCATTCCCTGCAGCTGGAGAAGCCCCCCCTGCAGCTGAGGAGCGCCCTGGGCAGGGCCCTGGGGCTGCGGGGTGCCCGGCCCGTGCCCCCCGTGCCCCCCATCCCTCCCGGCAGCAGGGAGGGCACGGAGCTGGCAGCGGGGCTGGCAGAGCTGCGCCTGCAGCCTGAGGAGGTGGACCAAGAAGAGGTGGGTGAGATGGGATAAATGCACTTTTAACAGTGCTCCCCATCCCTGAGAGCATCCAGGGGTTTGGAGCACCCTGGGCTGGTGGAAGGTGTCCCTGCACGTGGGACAAGGTGAGATTCCAGGTTTCTTCCATCCCAAACCAGTCTGGGAGTCTGTGAATTCCTGGCTTTGCCTTTCTGTCTGTACCTTGCACCCTCTGGTTCCCACTAAAAGGAACCTGAGGTGTTAAACAGGGGAGGAATTTCTAACATGAAAAATATTCAGCAGTAAGAGGGGAGAATGCTGCAGCATGAAACTCTAATAAGTACAGATTTTCCTGCTCATTTGAGTAGGATCTCTGCTTGCTGGGCACTGATTGCATGATTTAGAGGAGGTTTAGATGGGATATTGGGAAGGAATTCCTGGCTGGGAGGGTCTGGGATGAATTCCCAGAGCAGCTGTGGCTGCCCCTGGATCCCTGGCAGTGCCCAAGGCCAGGCTGGACACTGGGCTTGGAGCAGCCTGGGACAGTGGGAGGTGTCCTTGCCATGGCAGAGATGGAATGGGATGATCCTTAAGGTCCTTTCCAAGCCATTCCATGGTTCTGTTTCCAGTAAGTGCAGATTTGCTGGGAAAAACCTGAGGTCTCACTGTGTGTGCTGGCAGCCATCAAACCCCTCCTTTAATCCACTGAAAAGCACGGAGTTGGTGTGATCCAGCAGGAATCTGTCCCCGTGCTCTGGAGGGGGAAGCTGGGGTACAGCACTGCTGTGAAACTGTGTTTGCTTGCAGGATAATTCCTGTGAAATAAATCAGACAGCACTGACAGAACCAGAGCACACAGCCGTAAGCTGTGCCAAGGGAAATTCAGGTTGGATATCAGGAAGAAATTTTTAATGGAAAGAGTGATAAAGTTCTGGAATGTTCTGCCCAGGAGGTGGTAGAGTCACCATCCCTGGGTGTGTTTAACAAAGCCTGGATGTGGCACTGGGTGCCAGGGTTGAGTTGGGGTGTTTGGGCTGGGTTGGACTCGATGGTCTTGAAGGTCTCTTCCAGCCCAGTGATTCTGTGTGAAACCAGGAGAAGGATCATTATAATTGCCCAAAAACCGTGTGTGTGCTGACCACACTGCCCAGCAGGGCCTTGTGCACCCCATGGACTGAGCTGAGCCCTCACAAACAGACTTCATTTGGCTGCAGAAAGCTTTTTCCCTCTGCAGTGAGTGTCCCTGTCGCTTCTCCCCACTGTGCAGATGCAGAATTCCCTGCGGTCCCTGCGGAACAGCGCGGCCAAGAAGAGGGCAAAGCTGAGCAGCAGCATCGCCGACCTGGAGAGCCCCGACTCTGGGGTGAAACTCGAATTTTCCGGGGACTGCCCCTCCCAGGGCTCCTCCCCCACCGGCGACAGCGAAATCTCCAGCCAGGAATCCCTGGGCTCCCCCGTGGCCACGCTGCCCCCCAGGAGGAGAGTGATGTGAGTGTCACTTGGTGTCACCTCAGCCTGGAAATCCCCACACAGCCTTAGTGAAACCATCATTTTAACTGCTGCCTGTTTTGTAGAGGACTGCTTGCTTAATAGCCTGATTTTTCTCTGTGAATTATGTTCCTCTCTAAAAAGACAAGAGCTGCTAAATGACATTATTCTGTTTTTTTCTGGCTTCTAACATGAGGCTGCAGTAGGCAGGGCAGGGAGGCAGTGCCAGGAGCAGTAAATATTTGATAAAGACGTTCCCTGGCACTGCAGGAACATTGCCAGAGCTGAACGGGGGAGTGAGAAGGACAAGAGTGAAGAGGAAGGATAAAGATTGGGTTACTACAGCCTGGAAATTGAATTGGGTTTGTTGATAAGAGGAAGACAATGCAGATGTTTCTTGTTGTGGATCAAAAGCTGGTTCCATTTATTCCTGAGAGATAATAGTGAATTTAAAATGCCTTCCCAGAGCTCTCCTAAATAGAAATTGGGTGGTGACAAATGCTGCTCTGATTTAAAGGGCAGCAACACGGTTGGTTATGAGCAGTATAAGCCATTGTTTAATGAAATACAGAGTTTTGAGGAATTTTGCAAATTTGCCAGTCCAAAATCTCCTCTCTGCTCTAAAAGCCCATGATGAAGCTCTTGGTAGCTCTTCTCTGAAGATACTTTTGTATGTATTAAAGCATCTTCTATAGACTCACAGAATCCCAGAGTGGTTTGGGTTGGAAGGGACCTGAAAGATCACCTAATTCCAGCCCTGCCATGAGCAGGGAATCTTCCATATAACTGACATAGAACTGCATTAACAACCGAAAGCAAAGCAGGGAACATAAAAACCAAAGGGATTTGAGGCAGAAGGAGCCTGCAGTGATTCACAAACAGAAGGTTTTCAGTTGTGCAGCCCAGAACTAATTTATATTCACATCCCTTCCCCATGTGCATTACTGCTGAATCACATTTTTAAAAATAATCTTTAAAATCCCACATTCAAGTGCTGAAATCCGTCAGAAGTCAAGTGGAGCCCTGGGTGTGCTGGTTTGGGCTGAGCCATGCTCTGTACAACATTGCCATGTCCATTATCCAGTGCCTGGTACTTCATGCATCCTCAGCCAGAGGAGTTCTGAGCCAGCCAGGAGGAGAGGGGACACCTGGCAGTCACCCTGAGTTGGGAGAAGTGGCAGAGTCCATCCCAGGTGACACTGAAAGCCTTGGAATGCTCAGAAAAATGCCAGGGGTCTGCTCAGGGGGTTTGTGAGCACTGGCACAAACTGGCATTGTCTATTCCCAAAATCTTTGGCTGGGCAGGAATGGGGGTTTGGGAGTGTTTGCTTTGGGAAGGGTTTGGTTTGTCTGCTGATAAACTGCCATGGGTGGTGGGATACAGGAATTAGGGACATTCCTGGAGCATGGTATTGCACTGGCTCTGGGTTCCATCTTTATATCCAGAGAATCATCTGAAATTTTAAATCATTTAGAAGTTGTTCTTGTAGATAAGAGCATTTTCCTGGTGAATGTCTCTGCTGACCACTGAGCTGGGAACAGCTCATCCCTGTTGTGGCAGGAGGATTTGGTCACTCTCCTTGGCCAGGTTGGAGCCAGCATCATCAATCCCCAGGCCAAACAATTCTTTATTTATGGGTGTTTCCTAAATTCAGTCCTAGTGTAAGCCTTCCTCATACTTTTCTTGAGGGTGTTCTTCATAATGGACCTGCTCATCAAATAATTCCCACTGAATTCTGTTCCTGCTCGAAGTGAACATTTGTGGGAATACTGGAAATAGTTTTGCCATGGAGAAACTGAAATCTGTTGTTGTTTTTGGCATGACTTTGACCGTTGTGCAGAATTGCACCTATAAAATGTGTTTATCTGAACAGGTCAGACACTTTTCCAGCACTTGGCAGCAAATCCCATCCTGCAAAAGTATCTCCAGCAAGGCCCAGAGACACAGAGGGGGCAGAGCATCCCCCCAGCACAGGTATGTTCCTGTCAGTACTCACCTGAGGAACTTGGTGTGGGCAGCGAGCCCACATCCCTCAGCTCTTAGCAAACGGAATTTCCAGCTGCTCTGGGGCCAAATTGGGATTTCAGGGTGCTCAGGGGAGGAGATCCAGGCTTGCAAGCAGCTCATTTCCCGTGGGGATTGAGGTGAAGTGCTGCTGGTGTGTTTCATCCTCCCAGGGCAGTGCAGGCCCTTGAACTGTGGGGGATTTTTTGTGTTTAATCAGTTTTGGTTCTACTGGATGGAGGAAAGGAGCTGAGGGAGCTGTGTCCACAGGCTGTTCCTCCATCCCTTCTCCCCAGTCCCTCTCCAGCTCTCCTGGAGCCCCTCCAGGCCCTGCAAGGGGCTCTGAGCTCTCCCTGGAGCTTCTCCTCTCCAGGGGAACATTCCCAGCCTGGCTCCAGGCTCCTGCCAGTAGGATGTGAACATCCCTCATATGGCTGTTCAACAGATCCTGCTGCCTTCAGTAACCTGGCAATGCCCTGGTTCAGGAGAGGGGTCAGTCAGATGTGGGGTGACATTTTAGGAGGATGAAACACACCCCAAAGCATGACCAACATGACTGACAGTGAGTGCTCTTTGTGCTTTCAGGCCCTGCAGAGTCAGTGCCTGGTTTTGCACCCAAGAACCATCTGGGTTTCACATCTGAAGACGTTGCTGTTGTTGGCAAAGGTACTGCAGACCCCAAATTATCCCCTGTGTCTCTTTTGAGTTATGAAACGAGGGAAAATGTGCCTTTGTAGAGTGGGAAAAGAAGATCTGTACAATGTTGTAATTGTTCACAATCCCCAGTTCAGTGGGAATACAAAGAATTATGTTTGACAGTGTTGCAGTTCCTGCATAGACACTTCCAGTCGTGGCACCTGTGGAATGAGATGTCCCTTCCACCCCAAAGCAGTCTGTGACCCCGTGTTCTGCCCTCCAGGTGTTTTTGGGAGCCCTCCTGCCCCAGCTCCCAGCCAGTCCATGCCCTGTGTGGCCAGTGGGGATGCCCAGGGTGCCAGGGAGGGGGCAGAGGCAGCCCCAGGGAGAAGCTTCCAGCAGAACAGCCCTTCCCATTCCCGCTGCCACGCAGGGAATGAAGGAGAGGTAAGCACTGCACAGCCTGGGCAGTTTGACTGGAGTTTGACTGGAGCAGCCACAGCCTTCGAGCTGCTGCTCCTGATTTTCTTCCTGGAGAAGGGCTGCAGGAAGGAGGGGAGCTGGGAAATGCCCTCCCTGACTCCCACAGCACGAGCAGATGTGGAAGGAGGGATTGGCTGGGTTGGATCAGGTCTGGTTTTCCTCGTGGATGAATTAATCCAGCTCCAATCAGAAGTTTTTCTTAAAAGCCTTCCTGAATATTTGGCCATAATCTGGTCTCTGAGGAGTGGTGCTATTTGTTAAAAACTATTTGCAAATGTAAATGGAGCAAGATTTATCTGAGTGAAATGTGATACAAAGTCAAAAAATATTGAAATGGAACTCCTTCTGCAAGCCTTTAAAATAACATTTGAAGAATACTAATACTTGAAGTTTATGATTAACAATGTCTTAATTTTCTGATTTCGCCTGAACATGTGAACCCTTGGCAGGATCAGATTCATAGAGTAAATTCATTAAATTTATTAAACTGAACATAAATTTAACTAGATTAAATTTATTTGCTGAGTTTTCCTAATGCACAAAAGGGTCAGATCAGAGAAAATCCTGCTTTTCCATACTGACCTTGGCCAGCATCAGGAACTGGGGAATCAATTCTGGGGTAACCTATGCATGATTTTTTTTTTGCAGATAAAAGTGACCTTGTCAAAATCTGCTCAGGAGAAGCTGAGGAGGAAGAGGAAAGAAGACAAAGAACACAACCATAAAGAGCAGCAGGAAGGCAAAGACGTGGAAGGGAAGGAAGAATTCCCTTGGGAAAGGATTAGACTGAGTATGAGTGAACCAGAGAAACTCACAGCAGAAAGTAAGGATGAGGGTTTGTCTTAAATGAATATTCCCTGTTCAGTGCTGCTGAAATGGAAATTAGGGCTGGTAATACTGGGTTTTAACTTGGTTCTGATTGATTTTATTATAATTTGGACATTTCCTTCTTTCCTAGGGTTTAATCTCTGTGGGGATTTACTGACATCGCCAAGAAATGGATCTTTGTCCTTAGAAAATGTGGCCTTGAACCCTCCCCTGAAAAGAACATCCAGTTTGAAGAGGTCAAAGTGTTCATCCTTGCTAGATTCTGGTAAGCTGGGACAGTAAACTCTTCAAACACTTGTGCAGTGGAGTGGGACAGTTTCCAAATACAATTTATTTGTGCAGTGGACAGTCCTGAGGTGCTCGGGAAGATCAGTACTGTGGGGCTGGGGCTGGAGCTGGAGGGGATTTAGTTCCTCATAGGGGATTCAGTGTCCGTGTCCGTGTCCCTGTCCCGTCCGTGTCCCTGTCCCTGCTGTGTCCGTGTCCCTGCCATGTCCATGTCCCTGTCCCTGCCATGTCTGTGTCCCTGTCCCTGCTGTGTCCCTGTCCCTGCCGTGTCCGTGTCCCTGTCCCGTCTGTGTCCCTGTCCCTGCCGTGTCCCTGTCCCTGACATGTCCATGTCCCTGTCCCTGACGCTGCCGTGTCCCTGTCCCATCCGTGTCCCTGTCCCTGACACTGCCGTGTCCTCCCCGCAGGTGAGCCGTGTCCCTGTCCCTGCCATGTCCCTGTCCCTGCTGTGTCCCTGTCCCGTCCGTGTCCAAGTCCCTGTCCCTGTCCCGCTCGTGTCTGTGTCCCTGTCCCGTCCCTGTCCCTGTCCCTGACGCTGCCGTGTCCTCCCCGCAGGTGAGCCGTGTCCCCGGGGCCGCTGCCGGGAGCCGCGGGTGCCGCAGAGCCCCGAGGTGCTGGACCCCTCCGAGCTGCAGCCGCTGGCCCGGCCCGAGCCCGCGCTGGCCACGGCGCTGGCGCTGCTGGCTGAGCACGACTGGTGTGTGCGGGGCTGGGCTGGGCTGGGCTGGGCTGGGCTGGGCCGGGCTGGGCAGGGCTGGGCTGGGCTGGGCAGGGCGGGCACGGGGACACGCCCCGGGAAAATGAAAATTCACCTTTCATAAAGATCGGTAGGGAACGGTATTGTAAATGCAGGCGAACCCAGTGGGGAGAAATGCTGATGTCTGACTCAGTTCAGAAGGCTGAATGATTTCTTTATTATAACTGTGCTAAAATACATTAATATACTATATAAAAAGGAATATACTAAAACTACATACTACTTTCTCTGACTCTGTCTAACACAACTCGTGACCCTCTCTGAGAGCCCAGCCCCAGGCGGGTTGGATTGGATTGGATTGGAATGGATTGCATTGGATTGGGTTGGGTTGGGTTGGATTGGGTTGAATTGGCCATCAGCTCAAACAATCCTCACCAGAATCCAACCAAGCAACACCCCAGGGAAACAATTCTCCAAACACATTCCACATAAGAAAATCAAGGAGCAGAAATAGAAATTGTTTTCTCTTTCATTTCTCTCAGTGCACCTCTATGAAAATCCTGAGAGTGAGAGAAATGTACTTGCCACAGAATGATTTGTTTATTTGTAGCACTGTGGACACATGTGGGGACTCATTTTTTAATGGATGTGCACACTTTTGAGAACTTTTGATTTTTTTTATTACTCTGACTTATTTCTGTATGTACAGAACTTCACAATAGGTTCATGATTATTTATTTTGTTGATTTTGCGTTACACTTACAGCTAGTTATACTTATACTCAGTTTTTGTTAGAAAGTACAGAAAGAACTCTTGGGTTACTCTGCTTTCTTTGTTTTAAGGTCTGAGGAGTTTTATCTCTTTTGTAGTTGGCACAACTTTGCTAGTTTGTAGTTACTAGATTAAATAACATACTTTACTTACGTTAGCAAGCTCAAAGTGGTACATTTCACTTAAATCTAAATGGATTCTTACCCTGTTAAATTTTTACTCTGTCTCATTGGGCAGCACTGACACAACAGCAGGACACAGTCTGGAGCTATGACAGGGAAGGTGTAGGTTGGATATCAGGAAAAAATTTTCACCAAAAGAATAATAAAGCACTGGAATTGTCTTCCCAGGGAGGTGGTGGAATCCCCATCTCTGGATGTGTTTGGAAAAAAGACTGGACATGGCACTCGGTGCTATAATCTAGTGAGGTGTTAGGGCATGGGTTGGACTTGATGATCTTAGAGGTCTCTTCCAACCTCATTGTTCTGTGATTCTGAGAGCTCGCTGTAAAACACAGCAAAATGACAAAAATAGTGAGGGGACAGAGTGAGAGAGGAGAAAAATGGGGGAGCGTGGGAAATGGATTTGTAGAGAATTTTTAAAGTTTGGCAGAAGGGTTACACAGTATGTATTTGTTTAATACAAATACTATGTAAATATAAATGGTTTTAAAAATAAAAGTTTAAAATACCTCTCAGTTCACACATCCCTGTGTCAGAAAAGGACTAAATCCAGCAGGGGGGTTTAATCAAGTGTGAGATTAAATGAGCATTGTAAATTAGGGCTGGGAACTGGGCTCTCAGAGGCTTGGAGAGTCTGATTTGAAGGGCTGGAGAGGCACCACCAACACCTTCCTGGTGCTCTGTGTGGAATTATCAGCCCAGCCCTGGGGCTCTGTGTTCATAACAGTAAATATTTTAATGAAACTTGACAAATGGATGGAATTTAAGTATTATTTTTTCACACAGGGAGAAGAAAATTGAAGGTCTGAACTTTGTCAGGTGCTTGTCTGCCTACCATGCCCCTATTCTGACTGCAAAGCTCCACGAAACAACTCTGGCTGTGGCTCAAGAGGTTAAATTTTCCTATCACAATATTCCACTGGCTCTCTGTGTGTATATATGTATTTTACAGCTCTCTGAAGTGATTTATGCTCACCTCTGGTGAATTTTCCTCAACTGGGCAGTCTCAAGGATGATTTGAGACTCAGAGGCTGAGAAAATGTAGATTTTAACTTTATAACATTTTTATGAGTGTGTATTTTAATTCTCACCCATTGTGAATCAAGTTAGAAATGTGTTTCTCAGTTGCTTGTAATGTTGCTTAAAAATGACAAAGGGCAAACATGAATATTTATTTTCAAGTCTCTCTGATAAACATTATTCATTGTTTTTTGGGTTTTTCCTGTGTGCAGGTCAAGAATTTACGCTCAGGTGTTTCTCGAGCTGCTGTGGTCTGTTTAGGGGATTTGTTCACCCACCTGAAAAAGAGCATGGATCAAGAAGTAGATAATGCAGTAAAAGTCCTTTTGCACAAAGCTGGGGAATCCAACACTTTTATAAGGGAAGAGGTAGACAAGGCACTGAAGGCCATGGTTAATAATGTGACTCCAGCACGTGCACTTTGTTCTCTTATAAATGGAGGGCAAAGGTAATTCCTATAAAGACTTTATAAAGAATATTGTGAATAGAATAAACTTATCAAATGTAGGCTTTTTAACATCAAATCAGAGTGCAGTAGACAGAAATTTGAAAACCAGTAAATCAGCTGTGCTAAATCTCTACCCAGGGCAATGTTTGTTGGCATAAATTGAATTAAAGCCTCTCTGTTCCTTTCTGTGCACTATGTAAGAGGTTGGCTGTTGATTTTGGAGCTTGGTGTATTTTCTGGCTGTTTTGCACCACTTCAGTGATTTTATTTGCTGTTACTGTATATTCTTGGGGAGCTGCTGTTTTGCTTTGCCTGGTAAAGCTGACATAATGTTCTTTCTTTTCCTCCTTTGCTCTGCAGTCAGTTCCTGCCTTGGCCAGTTTTCAGCACCCCTCTTTATTTAGAAAACTGATTTACAACTTACGGTTCTCTAGCTGCATCTGTCGTGCTTGATTCCTCCTCTCTAGGCTGAGCCTTTGTGTCTGCATTTTAATTTCCTTCCCAGTGCTGGTGGCCATTCTTTTCTGGAGTTAATTCCCTTCTATCCCTGGCCCTGTTCAGTCTGTTTTCCTTTTCCATCCTCATTCACTGCTCACCACATCTGAGCCGGGTGCACCCCCTGGTGCTTCCCCTCCTCTCTGCCACCCCTTGGTGACATTTCTCAGGCTCCATTTCCCTTCATGACACATTTCAGGTGCTCCATTCAAAACCTCTCCACAGATTTCCTGCACAGCTCCAATCCTCAGAGTTAGTCTTGACTGAAAATGTTCTCTTTTGTTTCCTGGGCAGCTGGGGGATGCATGGATTCTGTCTCCTGACAGCTCTGCTGCAATTCCCTGCTCTTTAAACTGAAAGGCAAAAATCAGCCTTGGGGTTTCCATTCTTTATGAATTACTGGGATTCAGGCTGGCTTGGGATGGATGCCCCACCCCTGGAAGTGTCCAAGGGTGGGCTGGGATAGGGGAAGGTGTCCCTGCCCGTGGGTTTTTGGTCCCTCCTAACCCAAGCAGGCTGATTCCACAACTTTGTGAATTTAGGAGCAGCAGGCAGTACCTGCCCATGGCTTTCATTCAGCAGCAAGGGGAAGTGCCCTGTTTGGGTTCTCCCTTCTTGGCCTCAGAGACCCCTGGCCCTCCTGGTCAGATGTCCTCACCTTCCCCAGCAGATTCAGACTCAGCTGCTGAGGGGTCTTCTGGAGGGATTTGCCCCCTCCAGTTTCTGAGTTTGCATAGGTTTTCTGCTATCTAAGGCATCAGAATTAAGTTGAATACAGCCTTTGGGCACAGATTAATCTATTCACAGCTCAGACTTTCCTAATTCATGGAGTACAGGATGTTTTTAATGGATAACACATCAGGGCAGGGCCTAACGTTGCAGCTTTTCTAGGCCTGGAGCACAGGGCAGCTCCAGCTCCAGAGGTTGTGACCAGGAATATGGAATTATCCTTCAAAGGGCAAATCTGTGTCTCACTAGGAACTGAAAAGGATTGTTTGACACAACTGTAATTCCACAAGAGATGTTCTCTCTAAGTTGGGCTGAGTTGCTTAAATTCACCACAACATAATCCTTCAATTATGGTGTCAGTTACAATTCGTGGGACCTCTTAAAATGTACCTGGTTTCTGCTCAGCTCCTTTCAAGCCCTCTGTGATCATGACTTTAATGCTGGCAAACCTGACTAGACAGAAATACTGATTCTTCATCAGCTCCCAAGTTGGGTTTGACTTTACCAACAAGAATAATTCCAGTGGGAGGTGTCCCTGCCCATGGCAGGGGTTGGAACAAGATGAGCTTTAAGGTCCCTTCCCAAACCAGTTTGGGATTCTGTGAGTAGATTCATGATCCAAAAGCATGATTCCAGGGGTAGAGATGAGAGTGATTTTACTTCAGAAATTTTAAAATCCTGTTTCTTACCTGTATGCACTGTGTTCCTCCAAGGTGTTGTGTGCTCCTAAATGTTTTCCAGCTGTTTCCATGAGCAGGGGCTTGTTTGCTTCATGGACTGAGGTCTCTCAGACTCTCAATTCTTGTTTTCCCCTTGAAAGTGCAGCAGGAGTTACAAATTGTCCTCAAAGTAGCATTTTTAATCCAAATATAAAATTGGAGACATTGGAGTTTGCAGGATTTTGTTCTTGAGCGCAAGTGGGATCAGCAGGGGCAGCCGGATTTAGATAAAAGGGTCATTTGCTGCACGAGGTTGAAGGCTGATTCTGGCTGTTGTCCCCTTTGCATCAGCACAGGTGTTTATTTAGTACAAAGCAGGGATCAGGAGACTCCTGCAGGATCTTTAGAAGTTGATTGAACCCTGCTTTAGTCAATTTTACAGCGATATCAAGTGCCTAGGATGTGTCTTTGAGCACAGGGACTGGTTTTTCATAGGGCTCATTGAAAGAACACTCACATACTTCACAAAACAAAATTACCTGAAGGAAAACTGGGAGAGAGATTGTAGAAGCCGCTGCCTGTATCCGGCAGGAGCAGCTGCAGGAAGGTGTGGGTGCTGGGATGGGTCGGGGTGTGTTCCAGCGCGGTGCCCGCAGGCTGTGCCGGGCAGGGTGGGTGCTGCCAGCTGCCCTGTGGGGCTGTGCCGTCCCTCAGGCCTCTTTCCCTCCGCAGCCACCTGCACTCGGCCGTCCGGAGGTGCACGGCCCAGCACCTGGGGGACATGCTGCAGCGCCTGGGCCCCGAGCGCGCGCTGGCCGCGGGCCGGCCCGTGGCGGAGCGGCTGCTGCCCGCCATCGCCAGCTTTGCCCAGGACAGCTCGCAGCAGACACGGTGAGTGTGCCCCGGGGAGCAGCCTGTGCCTCTGGGGCTGGGCTGGGCTGGAGGGGAGAGACCTCGGGGAGCAGGAGCGCTTGGAGGAGGTCTGGAGCAGCCCAGGCTAGGGGAGGTGTCCCTGCCCCTGGTGTCGGAATCTGTGGGTATTGGTGATTCTGAGATTGTAGAAAGTCCCTGTCTGTCAGCCCCGCTGCCAAAGCAGAAGCCATAATTGGTCTGTGCTGTTTCAAGGCTGTTTATTCTGTTTATCTCTAACATGTTCTGCTGCCCTGCCGCAGCTCTGTCCTGCAGGGCAGCGTGTGGGGCTCTGCCCTCAGTGGGATGGTACAAACATTAAATACCAGAAACTACCTGTGCTGGATTTACAATAACGTGCCAATATCTGTCACCTACGTTGGACAGTGTGTCCCCAGCCTAAACCAATAGAAAAATGCCAACACCACAGTGAAACATGGAGGCATGAAGAAGGAGAAAAGGACAAGGCACACCCAATTCCTCCATCTTGTCCCCTTTGACCCCTAATCTAGAATCCTAAAATTTTACTTTGCACCCGTGCCACACTTAATTATTACTTATCAAACACTCAGAGCTTGTAATTCATCCTGTAAGATTGAAAACTCTTTTCCATGGACAGAGATCACAGACAGTGTCTCTGGGGGCTCTGTCCAGGGGGATTCCTGACCCCTGCCAGGGTCCCAGACCTGCCAGGGCAGCCAGAGGGAAGCTCTGGATTCCCACACCCCGGCACAGGTGGAAGGGGATGGGATAGAAGGTCCCTTCCAAACAAAGCTTTGAGTGCAGCTGTTATCCCAGCACTGTCCCATGGGATACCCCCCACACACCCTGGCTGCAGGAGGAGAGGGCTCACAGGATGTGCTCTGTGATGGAGCCACACAGGGAATGCTGGCTCTGGAATCCACACCTGGAGCTGATCCATGTCTCAGCCTGACACGGCTGGACTCACCCTAGTTACAGCCAGCAGAATTGGAAGGCTGTTCTCATTAATTTGGTCAGTTAATTAAAGTGATCCTTGAGCACATCCTCTGGGGGAGAATGGAAAGGGGAGTCAGCAATCTTAGAGTCATGGAATTGCTGAGGTTAGAAAAGACCTGCAATAACAGTGACTGGGCACCCCAAACCTCCCTGGGCAGTGCCAATCCCTGAGCTCCCTTTCCATGGGGAAATTCCTGCTGTGCCCACCCTGAGCCTGCCCTGGCCCAGCCTGAGGCCGTTCCCTCTGCTCCTGTCCCTGTTCCTGGAGCAGAGCCCGACCCCCCGGCTGTCCCCTCCTGGCAGGAGCTGTGCAGAGCCACAAGGTCCCCCTGAGCCTCCTTTGCTCCAGGCTCAGCCCCTTCCCAGCTCCCTCAGAAACTCTCCAGCCCCTTCCCAGCTCCCTCAGGAACTCTCCAGCCCCTTCCCAGCTCCCTCAGGAACTCTCCAGCCCCTTCCCAGCTCCCTCAGGAACTCTCCAGCCCCTTCCCAGCTCCCTCAGGAACTCTCCAGCCCCTTCCCAGCTCCCTCAGGCACTCTCCAGCCCCTTCCCAGCTCCCTCAGGAACTCTCCAGCCCCTTCCCAGCTCCCTCAGGAACTCTCCAGCCCCTTCCCAGCTCCCTCAGGAACTCTCCAGCCCCTTCCCAGCTCCCTCAGGGATTCTCCAGCCCCTTCCCAGCTCCCTCAGGAACTCTCCAGCCCCTTCCCAGCTCCCTCAGGGATTCTCCAGCTCCTTCCCAGATCCCTCAGGAATTCTCCAACCCCTTCCCAGCTTCCTCAGGAATTCTCCAACCCCTTCCCAGCTCCCTCAGCCCCTCCTGGGGCTCTGTTCCCTTCCCAGCTCCTTTCCCTTCCCTGGACACAATCTCCCTGCACCTTTCCATTTTGGAATCACACAGCTGGAATGACAAAGCCAGGTGACAAAGTGACAAAGGCTGTCCCTGGATGTCCTGGTGCTCTCCCTGCAGGTACTACGGGCGGAAGATGCTCTTCAGCATGATGGCTCATCCTGACTTGGATAAAATCCTGGAGAAGTTTGTGCCAGCCAAGGATTTGCCTTACATTAAGGAAACTGTTGTCAGCCTACGAGAGAAGGTGTGTGGGAAAGCTCTTGTGTAGCACCTGGGGCAGGTGGAGGTGTCCTGGGGGTGCTGGGTGTAGACAATTCCAGCAGGGCAGCCCCAGTAATTCCCTGTGGTTGCCTTGTTCCATGAATTCCTGCTGTACCTTTGTGCAGGGCCTGGGGGAGATGCCCTTGGATACACCCTCAGCCAAAGGAAGGCGTTCCCAGACTGGAAATGTTGGACATTTGAGGTCGTCCTCTACTTGCAGAGATGCTCCCATTATCCCAGACAGGTAATGAGCTCCAGTGCTTATCCTGAGAGGAACCTGGCCAAGGAGGGAGCACAGAAACAGCCACACAGGGCTGGGAAAGTTAAACATCCCTCAAGGAAAAGGAAAGTCTTGACCTGTTCCAGAGAAACTCTTAAATAGGGTAACCAGTTATATTAAAATGGTTTTGTGCATTTTGAAGTTAATTTGTCTACTGACCATCTATGAAATACACACAGTACACCTGGAATTCACCGTACTGTATATCCAAAACCTAAAAAATGTCAATATAAAACCTGTAAGAAGATAAAACAAAACTAAAAGTGGTCAGAGTATGATCTAAACCCTCCAGCACCCCCAGCCAGGACACCCAACAAAGTCCTTGGTGTCCACAGTTGTGTACAAATGAGTAATTTGTGCTGTGGCTCCAACCAGGAATGGTTTTTCCATGAGTCTGAATAGCAACACCTGGGATGATGCTGACATGGATCCATTGGATCTACATCCCAAGCAGCTGGGGCTGCCCCTGATCCCTGAGGTGCCCCAGGGCACTGGACAGGGCTTGGAGCAGCTGGGACAGTGGGAGGTGTCCCTGCCATGGCAGGGGTGGTGCTGGGTGGGCTTTGAGGCCCTTCCAACCCAAACCATTCCATGGTTTGTGATTGAATGAGCTGAAAAAGAAGCACCCCCAAATTTAAAGCAAGCCAAAAACTGCTTCCAAGAACACAGAGCTCAGAGGGCTGTGACTGCAGAGTCTCTTCAGGACCAGATTTCTTTAACACATCCTCCACAGTTCAAAATAATAACTGGTTCTACATTTGCTGATAGATTTTGACTGCTTATTCCATTTCTCATCCAAGCCTTGTGTTCAGGAATTAGGAGTGAGGTAATGACTGCCTGGATGGTCTGGAAATACCTGGACAGAGAGGTGATTCCACAGGTTTTAGAATTCTTTCCACGACTCTCTAATGAGATCAGGTGCCACAGGAAATTTGTTTTTAAATATTCTAGGAAGAGCTATTGGGTTTTCACCTCAGCATCAAGTGCTGCTGAGGTCACACCTCGTCTGGGGTGAGTCTTTAAAGTACTTTGGGAATAAAAAATTAAACTACAGTAAGTTTGGGGAGGTTGTGACCCACTGATGTAAGGGAAGTTCCCATTTGATTTTGGTCACAAAAGCAGCTGCATTTGGAGCAGAGTGGATCTAAGATTTTGGGAACAGCAATCACTATTAGGTGATTTATTTTTATTCACCACATTTAAAGTGAAACTTTGTATTTACTTTTGATGCTGGCACTTAGATGGGACGAGAACGTGTGGGATGAGCTGGTCCAACTCACAGAACAACATTTCCCTTTCCCACAGGGACAGCACGGAGAGCCAGGAAGCCCCAAGGAGAGCAGCTCCTCGCAGTGCCCTGGAGAGTGAGGACTATGTCAGGGACATGGTGGGGTTACTGAGCGCCAGAGATTTCCGGGAGCGCCTGGGCGGCGTGAGGCAGCTGCTGCTGGACACCGAGAGCAGCCCGGGGCTGGTGCTCGCCAACCTCCTCAGGGTAACGCTGCCAGAGCCTGGCACCCAAAGCTTTTCTATTTTCACATTCTGACTGCTTCAGTGTGTGGGGCTGGGCTCCATACCAGGGGATGCTGAGCTCTCTGCACAGAGCAGGGACACAAAACAATTCCTGCTCCAGCTGGGCACCAAGGACAAATGATCCAAATCTCAGCCCAGGAGCACAAACACCGTGGGCTGGAGAGAGAAAAACAAGCAGGATGGGACTGCCTGGGCTAAAGCTGGAATGGGACAATGAACTCCAAGGTGCCAATGGAGCAGAACTGATCCCAGGGAGAGCCCCCGGGAGCGCTCGTGCATTTTGGGACCATTTTGGTTCATTTGGGTGCAGCCCTGGCTGGGCTCTGGTGCTGCCCAAGGTGGATCCATGGAGGAGATCCTTTAATAAATCCCTGATTTATTCTGTAATCTGCCCAGCCTCTGCTCCAGGGCAGCCTGCACAAGGCATCACCAGGGTCACCAAATTTTCTTAGAAAAGACTTGGATTTTTCTTGGAATAAGGATGATTGACAGAGAGCATTGAGGAGCAGGGGGGTCTATGTGAGTCACTAAGGGAGGAAAGAAAGGGAACAGGAGGAAAAATGCGGAATTTTTCACTCAGGATACTTTTGAGCCACTGCCCTGAGAAGCTGTGTATGTCCCATCCCTGCAAGTGTCCAAGGCCAGGTTGGATGAGGCTTGGAGCACCCTGGGATAGTGGAAAGTGTCCCTGATGATGGCAGGGATGGGGTGGGATGGGCTTTAACATCTCTTCCCATGGAAACCAGTCTGTGATTCTGTGATTTCTGGAATCCTCGTGCTGTTTTTCACACCACTCTTGGGTAAATATCAAAATAGGGAATAGTTGTGAAAGCAGCAGGAAAGATTAATGAAGAACTGTAAAACTGTCTCTGAAGCAGAGTTACAAGATTTTGTGTGGGAGAAGGTGAGGAAAGTATTACGCTAAATTTATTGTGCTAAAGCTCAGGATGAGGATCCTGTCCAATAGGAAAGGAGGTTCTGAAGGAGAAAGAAATGTCCAGCAGCTGTAAATTAAAGACAGATACAATGAAAAGAAACCCAAGCTTGTCCTCCAGCAGTGCCATATCTTTGTGTGGAAGGATGGAATTCTGCTGTGGAACCTCCTGGTATCCAATCTGCGGATGGGTTTGAAACCTTTCAGATGTTCCCCTTGCTGAACACATCCATGTTTCCCTAAAAACACTGGCTCATAGGAAATCTGGGTCACAGGGGGAGTTACTGTGCCTGGAGTCCACTGCACTGCAGGGCTTCAGATTAATGCACAGGGTTAAAATAGCAAATCTGGCTTGACTTGCTCAAAAAATCATCCCAGGTATTTTTATATCCCAAAATCCCAGAATCTCAGAGTGGTTTGGGTCAGAAGGGACCTCACAAAATGTGAAAATCACCAATCACTTGTTTTTAGAATTTTTAAATGTTTAGTAATAACAAAATGGTTATAAAATAGTAATAGAATTAGAGTAATAAAAATTTAGAGCTAGGACAATTACAAGACAATAAAAAGCAAAGAATTATGGACATCCTGATGTTTTTGGGCACTGAGCTGCCACAAACATGCATTGGGAACAAAGGAATAACCCTTAAAAGCAACAGTCTGTTGCATAATCATATATGTCATACATGATGCATAAATTCCTTGCAAATTAATAATTTTTCTGGTTTTTGTCAACGTCTTCCCCTTAATCCTGATGGTTCCATAAAGACAGAGAGAAGGTGGAAGGATGTTTGTCTGTTCTGATAAGGAGGCAGTAACTCTTCAGGTTTTGTGTTGCTTTATCTCTGTGCTAAGAGTTTCTTGATTATCTTATCCCTTTTCTTGAACTAGTAAAAAAGTATCTTACATAGCAGAGTTTCTATTTTAACATTCTGTTATAACGTAAAATATATTTAGCACACTACTTAAGCTAATTAATACAGCATAACTTTCTAACATTACACATATAATATTCACTGTAATATTTGTGACAAGCCAATCATAAAATACGCATTTTTCACATAGAACATCTATTTCCAACCCCTGGAGATAGCAGAGGTGGACAGTTAAAGGGTAGCAGTAAAGAGGGTGATGGGCTTTATTGATTCCCAGTTCCATGAGTGCTGCTTGGATGCTTTTGCAGATCTTTGATGCTTTCAAGCCTCGCTTACACGACTCCAACAGCAAAGTGAACCAGGTGGCTTTGGAGGCCATGCACAAGATGATTCCACTGCTCAAAGACAATTTATCACCTGTGATCAACATGTTAATTCCTGCCATAGTGGACAACAACCTCAACTCCAAAAATCCAGGGATTTATGCAGCTGCCACAAATGTTATCCAGGCTCTATGTCAACACTTAGGTAAGCAATTTATTTTTTCTTAACTTGAAACTGTTTTAATTGTGGTGATTAAGTTGTAAATTGAAAGTGTTACTCTTTCCAAGAGTTTCACAGCGTTGCTACACTGTAAAAATCATTTGGTTTATTCTCACCACACAAATCACCTTAATATTGCTCAGTAGTGCTTTGGTTATTTTTCCATAGCATTTTCTTATTTACCTTTTCCCATATTGTGTTTATTTCCAGAAAACTTCATTTCCATTTAAGAATTTAACGTGTTTTGCTCTTTGCCTTTAGACACCTCCCTGCTCCTGCAGCCGTTCTGCACAAAAGCCCAGTTCCTGAGTGGAAAAGCAAAGCAGGACCTGACAGAAAAGCTGGCTGGTAAAATGCTCTTTTCCTCTGCTTGTTTTTCCCTTAATTAGGGAGATTAATTGCAAGGTGGAGGTGTGTCTGTACCTTCCCTTCTGCCTCAGGAGGTTGTGCAGCAGTTGTCACTTTTCAGCTCTTTAATGGAAATTGGAGCTATTGCTGACAAAACAAAGGATTAGTATTAGCATCAGCATTAGTGTTATAGAGTCAGATGGAAGATCTGTAACAACCTGGAATTTATAAATATTTATAAATATATTAAGGATTTAATTTAAATGTAAAGACCTTATATATTTTAATACCTTAAGGATTAACATTTATAAATACCTTAAGCATATAATAATTTCAACATGGCTTTGTATTCCTTCTCCCAGTGTTCATTCCCTCATGCTCTTGCCAGGAATCCAGAATGGTTTGGGTGGGAAGGGACCTTAAATCCCACCCAGTGCCACCCCTGCCACGGCAGGGACACCTCCCACTGTCCCAGGTGCTCCAGCCCCAGTGTCCAGCCTGGCCTTGGGCACTGCCAGGGATCCATCCCAGCTCCCTCCCACCCTCCAACCAGGAATTCCTCAAGAAAAGCTGCATTTCCATGCTTTAAATGAACAAGGAATGTCTTTATGGGAAATATGCTTGAACCAAACATTTCCTTGGCTCACTTTCAGAGTAGTTCTGTGTGAAATGGGACTCAATAACACAATGGTCAGGCTGTTCCTGAAATATCCCTAAATTTGTGCTTTCTGAGGGTGTTAAACAGCCTTTAAACAGTCCTCTCTTGCTGGGATTTTTGGAGTGGTTTGTGTTATATATAAGAAGAGGCTGTTCTGGCAGAGAGGGAAACATTTGCTAATGAAACACTGAATTAATTCTTGAGGAAAATATTTAATCCTATGAACATATATATTTATTTTTATACATATTTTATATATATTTGTGTAGGGCCAGGAGTTGGACTCATAATCCTTGTGGGTCCCTTCCAGCTCAGGATATCCCATCATTTTATGATTCTATATTAACAGTATAAGGCTGCTTTTTTCTTAAATATCTACTGGTTGTTTGTGAGATAGAGGGGAAATTGGAAATACCAGACCTTACACGGTGAGAAATAAGGGGCTTTATGAGAATCCTAGCTGAAAAAAACCCATCCTAAAATCCCCTTTTTTTCTTTTGTTTAGCTTAATGGAAAAGTGTAATTATCAGCAGCGCTGGTGCTACTGTGTAAACTCCTGGGACAGGATAAAAGGAGTGGTTGTGGGAAAATCTGGAATTTTTTATAGGAGCTGATGCTGTTGCAACAGCAAACTCTTGTGTACAGCAGCAGTTTGAGGAGATTATTTAAGTGCTTTTGAGCACCTCTTAAGGCAGGGTTCACATCAAAATTTTAATTCAAATGAATATTTGATCCTGACCCCTCCTTGCTGCCTTGCAGCGTGGGTTCCTGAGCTGTACCCCTATCAAAGCTGGGGATCACATCTAAATTGTAATTCAAATTCTGATTTTATCCTGACCCCTGGCTTGCTGCCTTGCAGAGCTGATACCAGAGCTGTACCCTTCTTGCAGCTGGGGATCACATCTAAATTGTAATTTAAGTGAATATTTTCTTGCAGAGCTGGTGCTGGGGTTGTACTCCTCTCAAAGGCTGGGATCCCACTGAAATTGTAATTTAAATGAATATTTTATTGCAGAGCTGGTGCTGGAGCTGTACCCCTCTCAAAGCTGGGGATCCCATTGAAATTGTAATTTAAATGAATATTCTCTCCTGGCAGAGCTGGTGCTGGGGCTGTACCCCTCTTAAACATGGGGATCCCATTGAAATTGTAATTTAAATGAATATTTTCTTACAGAGCTGGTGCCAGGGCTGTACCCCTCTCAAAGATGGGGATCCCATCTAAATTGTAATTTAAGTGAATATTTTCTTGCAGAGCTGGTGCCGGAGCTGTACCGCTCTCAAAGTCCGGGATCCCATTGAAACTGTAATTTAAGTGAATATTTTCTCCTGGCAGAGCTGGTACTGGGGCTGTACCCCTCTCAAAGGCCGGGATCCCATTGAAACTGTAATTTAAATAAATATTTTCTCCTGGCAGAGCTGGTACTGGGGCTGTACCCCTCTCAAAGGCTGGGATCCCATTGAAACTGTAATTTAAATGAATATTTTCTCCTGGCAGAGCTGGTGCTGAGGCTGTACCCCTCTCAAAGGCCGGGATCCCATTGAAGCTGTAATTTAAGTGAATATTTTTTTGCAGAGCTGGTGCTGGGGCTGTACCCCTCTCAAAGGCCGGGATCCCATTGAAACTGTAATTTAAGTGAATATTTTCTTGCAGAGCTGGTGCTGGAGCTGTACCCCTCTCAAAGGCTGGGATCCCATTGAAATTGTAATTTAAATGAATATTTTCTCCTGGCAGAGCCGGTGCTGGGTCTGTACCCCTCTCAAAGGCGGGGATCCCATTGAAACTGTAATTTAAATGAATATTTTCTCCTGGCAGAGCTGGTGCCCGAGCTGTACCCCTCTCAAAGGCCGGGATCCCATTGAAGCTGTAATTTAAATGAATATTTTCTCCTGGCAGAGCTGGTGCTGGGGGTGTACCCCTCTCAAAGGCCGGGATCCCATTGAAACTGCAATTTAAGTGAATATTTTTTTTGCTGAGCTGGTGCCGGAGCTGTACCCCTCTCAAAGGCCGGGATCCCATTGAAGCTGTAATTTAAGTGAATATTTTTTTGCAGAGCTGGTGCCGGAGCTGTACCCTCGCAAGCCCTGTGCCGTGGAGCAGAAGGTGCTGCCCGTGCTGTGGCACCTGCTGGGCAGCTCGGCCAGCGGCGGCTCCGTGCCCGGCCCCCGCACGGCCACGGCCGCCTTGGCGCGGGCGCTGTGGGCGCAGATGGGCCCCGGCCTGCTCGCCCACGCCGCAGCACAGCCCCCGCACATCAGGAAGAGCCTGGAGGAGCTTTTGGAGACGGGAACGTAAAATTGTGAAGTGGCCATTCCCGCAGGTGAAGCTCCAGCGCCGCCTGAGCCGGGCACACGGACGGTGCTGCCGGAACAACCCCTGGAATGGCCACGGTGCCTGAGGGGGCCAGGCCGGGCTGGACTGCACCGGGAGAGAGCCCGGAGCCAGGCTGGGAGAGCCCGGGCAGCTGAACTGGGCTGTGCTGGGAGAGCCTGGGCAGCTGAACTGGGCTGTTCTGGGAGAGCCTGCAGAGCTGAACTGGGCTGGGAGAGCCTGGGCAGCTGAACTGGGCTGTGCTGGGAGAGCCTGGGCAGCTGAACTGGGCTGTTCTGGGAGAGCCTGCAGAGCTGAACTGGGCTGGGAGAGCCTGGGCAGCTGAACTGGGCTGTGCTGGGAGAGCCTGGGCAGCTGAACTGGGCTGTGCTGGGAGAGCCCGGGCAGCTGAACTGGGCTGTGCTGGGAGAGCCCGGGCAGCTGAACTGGGCTGTGCTGGGAGAGCCCGGGCAGCTGAACTGGGCTGTGCTGGGAGAGCCCGGGCAGCTGAACTGGGCTGGGCTGGGAGAGCCCGGGCAGCTGAACTGGGCTGGGCTGGGAGAGCCCGGGCAGCTGAACTGGGCTGTGCTGCATCAGCCTGCAGGACTGAACTGGGCTGTGCTGAGGTGGCTTGAGGGCTTGAACTGGGCTGTACTTGTCCAGCCTGAGAGCCTGAACTGGGCTGTACTTGTCCAGCCTGAGAGCCTGAACTGGGCTGTGCTGGGCCAGCCTGAGAGCCTGAACTGGGCTGGGAGAGCCTGAGGATCCAAACTGGGTTGTGCTGGGCCAGCCTGCAGGACTGAACTGGGCTGTGCTGGGCTGGCTTGAAGGCTTGAACTGGGCTGTACTTGTCCAGCCTGAGAGCCTGAACTGGGTTGTGCTGGGCTGGCCTGCAGGACTGAACTGGACCGTGCAGCGCAGACCTGCAGGACTGAACTGGGACACTGTGCGGGGCTGAACTGGGCCGTGCTGGGAGAGCTGTGCTGGCACTGTGGGGCTGGCTCCCCTCATTGTCACCAGCATGGCCATGGAGGAGCCACTCCAGCCCATCTGTGCTTCCCTCCAGAGGCTCCAACCCAGGACCTGTCCCTGGATTGCCCATGAAGAACCACATGGTCACATCAGCACTGCGCTTTACATGGAGAAGTGGAAGAGAATCCTGGACACAGTGATGCAGTGCTGTTAGTGAAAAACGTTATTTTGGTACCCCCACAGGCAGTGGTGCAGTATTTGTTGTCTCAGGGCTGGGCAATGGGGAGAATGAACCCCAACCCCTCTGCTTCCTCAGCTGCAGGCTCTGGACACACTTGACGTTGGACACAATGAAATATATAAATAAAGGATTTATTTCTGTACAGGGATGTATTTCTGCAAAAGGGGTGGTGGCGAGGGGCTCGAGAGCTGCTCTGTGTGAAGGAACCTGGTGACAGCGGCTGAACGTGAGCCCAGGTGTGCCAAGGTGGGCACCTGGCCTGGACCAGGAACAGTGTGGCAGCAGGGCCAGGGCAGTGACTGTCCCCCTGTGCTGGCACTGCTGGGGCACCTCCATTCCTGGGATTGCTCTGGGCCCCTCACTTTAAAAGGGACATGGAGGGGCTGGAGCGTGTCCAGGGCAGGGAACAGAGCTGGGAAGGGGCTGGAGAGTTCCTGAGGGAGCTGGGAAGGGGCTGAGCCTGGAGCAAAGGAGGCTCAGGGGGACCTTGTGGCTCTGCACAGCTCCTGCCAGGAGGGGACAGCCCGGGGGTCGGGCTCTGCTCCAGGAACAGGGACAGGAGCAGAGGGAACGGCCTCAGGCTGGGCCAGGGCAGGCTCAGGGTGGGCACAGCAGGAATTTCCCCATGGAAAGGGGGCTCAGGGATTGGCACTGCCCAGGAAGGTTTGGAGTGCCCATCCCTGCAGGGTCCCAGGAATTCCTGGAGATGCTGTGGGTGACTTGGTTTAGTGGCTTAAGGGCTGCAGTGGCAGTGCTGGGTGGGCAGCAGGATCTGGGTGAATCTCTCCAAATGATTCCAGGATGCGTTTCCAGAGGGGGCTGTATTTATTTAATTCCCTTTACCGGGCCGTATTTATTCCCATACAGAGCTGTATTTATTTTGTTCCCTTTACCGGGCTGTATTTATTCCCGTACAGAGCTGTATTTATTTTGTTCCCTTTACCGGGCTGTATTTAATCCCATACAGGGCTGTATTTATTTAATTCCCTTTACCGGGCTGTATTTATTCCCGTACAGAGCTGTATTTATTTAATTCCCTTTACCGGGCTGTATTTATTCCCATGCAGAGCTGTAATTATTTTGTTCCCATTACCGGGCTGTATTTATTCCCGTACAGAGTTGTATTTATTTAATTCCCTTTACCGGGCTGTATTTATTCCCGTACAGAGCTGTATTTATTTTGTTCCCTTTACCGGGCTGTATTTATTCCCTTTACCGGACTGTATTTATTCCCTTTACCGGGCTATATTTATTTTTAATTCCGCACAGGGCTCTGTCCCCCGTCCCTCAGGGCCCCGCCGCCATTTGGCGGGAAGGGGCGGGCGCTGGCTTGGCCGGTGCGCACGCGCGGGGCAGGCGGGCGCTGTGCGCGTGCGCGCTGCGTGAGGCCCGGGCGAGGCGGCGGCGGCTGTGGCGGCCCCGGCGGTGGCGGCCCCGGCAGGTACCGGCGGGGGACGGCGGGTGCGGTGCCACGGGGCCCAGGGGAGGAGAGCGGGGCGCTCCGACAGCGCTCGGGAGCGGCCGGGCTGAGGGACGGCCTGGGCGGGAGGCCGGAGCGGGCGGGGGCTGGGCCGCGCCGCCCGCGCGCCGGGCCCGCCGAGCGCCGTGTGGGCCCCGCCGTGTCCCGCGGCCGCTGCCGGGCTTGGGGTCTGCCCGAGGGGTGAATGTGCCGCGGGGTCGTGTCCCGCTGTTGTATCCATGTATCCGTGTTTGCGGCGCTGAACGGCCGCTGGGCGAGTAACGGGCCCGCGGGAGCCCCGTGCAGGCCCGCGCGGTGTGTGGCGTTATTGCTCGGGCCGGGCCCCGGAGAGGCCCCGGTCCGGAGGGAACGGCCGCAGCTGGGCCAGGGCACGCTCAGGGTGGGCACCAGCAGGAATTTCCCCATGGAAAGAGTGGCCCGGCCTTGGCACTGCCCAGGGAGGTTTGGAGTGCCCATCCCTGGAGCTGTCCCAGGAATTTCTGGACGTGGCACTCAGAGCTCTGGGCTGGCGGCGAGGCACAGCTGGAGCGGCCCGATGGCCTTGAAGGGCTTTTCCAGTAAATGGTTCCGTGATTCAAACCTAATACCGGCACAGCCGCGCTGGGCCCGGGCAGCGCCGGCCCTGCCCCTGCCCTGCCCTACCTTATCAGAGGTGTGAATGGAGCGCTCTGGGCAGAGCTCCGACCAGGCTCCGTATTCCTGCTCCTCTGCAGTTCCCCTGTTTGCCTTCCATTAGCTCATTCACGTTTATCAGCGGCAGTTTTGCGTACAGCAGTCTTGTGCTGGCAACAGGTTGAGTAATATGTTGTCATCGATTATTTAATACCAGGTTATGTGTAGCTGTCTGATGCTCTCATTCAGTTTTTTAGCTTGTGTGATGTCAATCCCTTTGGAATTAAGGTGGAAATCCCGGAATTAAGGTGCTAACCCCGGAATTAAGTTTCCCTAGTGTGCCCCACCCCCGGATTTTCGTGGCCTGTTGCATTGGCTGGTTTAAGCCATGGAGTGCTGCCAGATTTTGGGATATGCCAGGGATCAGACTGGAAGAGCTGTCAGACTGTCTTGGTTTCAGTTTGAAGCTACGTGTGCCTTGTGAGTTTTCACAAGCTCAGACCTTGTGTGCCAATCCTTATGGCTTCTCCCTCATTTTTTTTTCCCTCCTAATCTGAAGATGGCTGGATTTGGTGAGCTGTTTTTTTTTTTTAAGATGGAATATGTCTTCTGAATCAGCTAGAGGGAGAAAACATCTGTTGAACATCAGGATAAGTTTAGGTTGTGAATTACTGCATTTCTATGTTGACAGAATCCATGGAATCATCAGGACTGATCATTAAGTCCAACCATTCTCCCGTGCAGCCAGGGCCACCCCGTGTCCCCAAGTGCCACATCCACAGGGCTTTAAATCCCTCCAGGGATTAAAAAAAAATCCTCCCCAGGGATGGGGACGCCAGCGCTGCCCTGGGCAGCTGTGCCAGGGCTGGACAGCCTTTGCATGAAGAAATTTCCCCAGTGTCCAACATGAACCTCTCCCGGTGCAATCTTTATCACTAGTTACTTCTGTCACTATTATGTCAAATTTTACAGCTGTAAATAGCCTTTAAACTATTTTTCCTAGTGCTGTGGCTGCAGTTTGTGTCACTCTCCACTTACTGCTGGATTTTAGAACCTGCACAAGGCACTCTCTGCAGTGCTTTTGAGTGATTCAGATCTCTACCTGTTGCACTGGGAAAGGCACAGTGATACTCTTTGATACTTAATGGATAACTTCATGTTACAAATGAGGTTTTTTTGTCAAAATCACAGTCACAATGGTTTGGGCTGGAAGGCACTTCAAAGCCTCCAGTTCCACCCCCTGCCTTGAGCAGGGACACCCATCAGTACCCCAGGCTGCTCCAAGCCCGTGGCTGCCTGATGGTGCAGAGCAAAAATACTTTACAAAGCAGTTGTTAGAAAACTTGCAGGGTAGAGCACATGGACTCTTGAACATTGTGCCAAAGTTCCTTGGCTTGGTGAACCCCTGGGAAAACATGAGCTGTTATCATAGGAGTTGAAGCTGCTGAAGATAAGGGAGAGAGATTTTTCCTTTCTGGCAAGAAGCTCACCCCAGTATGTAGTGGTGTTTTCTCCATGTCCTTGTTGAAGTGAAAGCAGTGGTCTGGGTGTTGTCTCTTAAGGTTTTCGGTGTGAAAGAGCTCTGGAGAGTTCTGGGGTGAGGACTTGTGCTTTCTTTTTGAAATCCCAAACGTATTTGCCACGTGCTCCGAGGAGAGCACAGGAGGAGCCAGGAGCGCAGTGCAGCTTGTTGCAGCCCAACACTGTCCCTGGTGCCAGCTGCACGCACAGCTGGGCGCTGCTGTGTCCTGCAGGGTGGTGTTCCCTGGGATCCCTGGCGGCTCAGTGCCCCTGCTCCGGCTGGGAAGGCCGGGATCAGCGAGGCTGGCTGGCACCCAGCAGGGCAGGGCCAGGCAGTGGCTCTTGGCAGGGACATCAGAGGGAGAGTGGGAGGAAGCAGGAGTCTGTCCCAGGGGCCTGGAGGAAGCGCCTGGCACTGGGTGTGGGTGGGAGTGAGGGGCTGCAGCTCAGGGGTCAGGGGCTCCCAGAGCGTTTCTGTGACACTCTGGTGCTGCTGGGTGTGTTTGGAGATCACTGATGGGGACTGAGTTGGTGCTGGCAGGAATTCTTGTCTTTGCTTTAGCCTGGTGTTGTGGGCACCCTTTAACACCTGTTTATTTCACAAAGAATTTACTGACTTGTACTAAGTAGGAAAATTTAATGACTTTAGGGACATGGGTCCAAGGTGGCCCTGGCACTACTGGAATAACTTGGACCTGATAGTCTCAGACAGCTTTTCCAGCCTAAATGTTTCTATGGAATTTGAACATAATTCTTTATTTAAATAAACGTCCTCCAGACTCCTACAGAAAAACTGTAATGATTCACTTTTATACCTCGTGAGCTCCCTGCAGTAGATTTTTAGAAAGCCACAATGATTTGTATGTGCAGATGTGGAAATGTATGACTGCTGTTAATATTTTTTATTGCTGAACAAGGCTGCTGCGTGAGCCGGTGTCATGGGGGCTGTGGTGAGGTACAGGGTGCTGCAGCCCCGGGCCGCTCTGAGCCCGACAGCCCCGGAGTGCTGAGCGGTGCTGTTCCCGCAGGATCCAGTCGCACAGCGCTGCCATGGAGAACGCCGAGAGCACGGAGGAGGAGCAGCCGACTGTGGGCAATGAGAGCGCGGAGCCCCGCGCCGAGAGCGCGCCCGAGGAGCAGCACATGGACTTCAGCACCGAGATCATGAGTGTCACCGAGATGGAGCAGTCCCCGGACAGCTCCCCGGACCTCAACGAGGACAACACGCAGGAGAGCGAAATTCCAAACATTGAGAGCTTACAGACCACAGATATAGAGGCTGACTTCCCTCCGGATTTTGACAAGTTTTGGAAAGTAGTAGAGGACAATCCGCAGGATTTCACAGGATGGGTTTATCTACTGCAGTATGTAGAGCAGGAGGTTAGTACCTGCCCTTTTCTCCTCAGTCTCCCCAAAATAAATAAACAAAGAAAACTAAAGTAATTCCAGTGGCAAATGGGGAATGGACATCAGGCTGTCTCTGATGCTGATTTAAGGCAGCTGCCCTTGCCACTGCTGTCATTTAATCATAAAATTCCAGGATGGTTTGGGTTGGAAGGGACTTAAAAAGCTCATCCAGTTCCACCCCCCTGCCATGTTCAGGGACACCTTCCAGTAGCCCGGATTGTCAATGTCAGAATAACAGCAGACATCTCTAACACAGTGTTAATAATTTAATTTAAAATAACCTGAAGCTGTTGCTAAGGGAAGCGCTGATTGTGCTCGCTCTGTTTCCCACAGAACCACTTGCCAGCAGCCAGGAAAGCCTTTGACAGGTTTTTCTCACACTACCCCTACTGCTATGGGTACTGGAAGAAATACGCGGACCTGGAGAGGCGCCACGACAACATCAAGCAGTCAGATGAGGTACGTAGGGCCCGGGGCCAGCGCTGCCACCAGTCCCAAAGCCAACAATGACTGTCCCACTGCGAGTCATTGGGCTGCCAGTGCCTGCCCTGCACGGCCAGGGCTCGAGGGACGTGTTTGCACGTGTCACAGCTGTGGCATTTGGAGCTAATGTTCTCTCTCTTTGTTGGCAGGTGCGTTAAACCTCTACAGTTTGTCAAGCTTTGCAGTGCAAGCCTCTGTATTACACTGCAGCTTAACAAGTAGGGCAGGGCTTTTCTGTCACTTCCATTTATTACTCATTTTCAAAACAATAATAGTTGGTTTGCTGGTCACAATTGCTCCATCTTATTGCATTTTTGGTCAGACGCTGTCAATGATGCTCTAATGGGTCTGTGCCCTATGGTCTGTACCCCAAAGCCTGCCCACACAACCTGGTCAGAATGCAGGGACCGCTGCGCTTTGAAGATCAAGACTCTGCACGTGGAGATCAGAACATTGCCATGTTCTATCCAACCTCCACCCGAATGGTAATGGTAGATTATTTAAACAAAATTCCAGTAATTAGTATTTCTAAGGTTCACCGGATAACACAGTGTTGCCTCTCTCTTAGGACCCCATTAAGGATTTGAAGTACAGTTCATGTTCTCTTCATAGGTCTATCGCCGAGGGCTTCAGGCAATTCCTCTTAGTGTTGATCTTTGGATACATTATATAAACTTCCTAAAGGACACATTGGACCCTGCTGATCCTGAAACTAACAGTACCATCAGGGGGTGAGTTGGGAGCAGCCCGATGTCCGTACACACCACTGGGATCAGCTCATTGTGTTTTTAAGACAAGGGGCAAATCTGTAACAACCTGGTAAGGCAATTCATAACAATCCTCTGTAAGGATTTTTAAATTCAGAGGTGATGGAGCCAAATTCCTTAACAAGGGAGAGACTGTACAGTGTGGTACGAGGGGCAAAAGCTTGAGAGCTTCAGTCTGGATGTTAAGAAATACTTAGTGCAGCATTTGGAATCCTGGAATTTAATTCCTTGGGGTTTCCAGGGTATGGCTAGGATGTGTCTGTTTGCTGTGGCTGGCAGTGGACCTGGTTAAAGGGTTGGGCTAGAGTTTGATCAGAAGGCTTAATTGAACTGGAAACGAATCTGAATCAAGCTGCAGAATTGCTGCACACCTTTTGTGTGTTACACTGCTGCACTGGTGGGTTTGGAGTCTGTACAAGACAAAAGTGGTAAAGGTTGTGTATTCTCCTAATATCTTGTGTTCCTGCCAGTGGCTTTTGCTCTTGCCTGTATTTGTTCTGTTGTGGAAGTGCTGGAGGAAAAAAAATGAGTGTGAGCTTTCAGAATCTCTAGACACCTTGCTGCAGATATCTGGGAAACACTGAAGAATGTAAATAATTAATATAAGTCTAGTTTCAAATAAATGAGGGTGCTCATAACATTTAATAAGAGCCGGGACTTTCCTTCCTTGTTCTATCCTGGCATCCAGAAACCAGTGTAAAACCTTTCCTTTTCCAGAGCCTATGAACATGCAGTGCTGGCTGCTGGGACAGATTTCCGTTCTGACAGACTCTGGGAAATGTATATAAACTGGGAAAATGAGCAGGGAAACCTAAGGGAAGTTACATCCATCTATGACCGCATCCTGGGAATCCCAACGCAGCTCTACAGCCACCACTTCCAGAGGTAAAGGGAAAACAGGGAGGTAATGCCATGGGAGAGGTGCAAATACTCAGCACAAGAACCTGGAACAGTTTTTTGTAGTTATTTACTTACATACTCAGGCAGTTGGACTCAGTGTTTCAAAGTACTGATGCACATTTGAGGAATTTGATTTCAGAGGCTTTGTTGTGGAATAAGAACAGGCCTTGGAAGTGTGAGGAGGAAAAGAGGTTGTCTTTGAGAAATCAGAATGAGCAGTTTTGGACTTTAATACTCGTGCAGTGCCCATGTATGGTGAAGCACCAGTTTAACTGACTAAAGGGGAATCCTGGTTAAGTTTTAGATAGTGGAATTCGTCACTGGTAGGGAGACTTGAGCAGCAACCTCAGTTAAATTGCACACAGTCTTCCCCAGATCTCTTGGTGCGGGACATAAAGTATTTCCTTTATAACTGATTTTTCTCTTTTCCATGGCAAGGGTTCTGTCTGTCCCTTTGGCACATGGCACTTGTGAGGGTGATGGTGCTGGCAGTTGTGGGTGTGAGCTGGCAGCGCTCAGTGTCACTCAGGAGCCATGAAGCAGAGCAGAACCCCCTGGGATTTACAGCTGCGCCCTGTTGGGCAGCAGCGCAGCGTGAGACAGCCCCTTTGCAGTGCCTCTTTGTGGCTGTTGCTAGGTTTAAAGAGCACATCCAGAACAACCTGCCCCGAGACTTCCTGACCACGGAGCAGTTTGTGCAGCTGCGCCGGGAGCTGGCGGCTGCCAGCGGCCACAGCGGCGAGGACGGGGACGAGCTGCCCTGCGGCACCGAGGACATCACCGACCCCGCCAAGGTACCCGCATGGGGTGGGGGCAGAGTGCCTCCCTGTCCTTCCCTGGGGCTGGGCAGGGCTTCCACTGCACCCCCTGAGCTGTGCCCAGAGAGCTCCTGCACATCACTGCCCTGTGGCTCGTGTGCTAACAGGACAGCCCCTTCCAGTGCTGGCAGAGCTGTTAAAGAAACTAGTTAGAAAATGAAAGAAGCCATGTACAAAATCTTAGGAACAAATAATAATTATTCCAGGTCGGCAGATTGGGATCTGTGGTCTAAGAAAGCTCCTCATCAGCAGTGGCCTGGGCAGGTTAGACTGTTACAGGCCTAGGAAAGCCTGGAGCTGTCCAAAGGAATTGCTGGTGGTGAAAAGACAGACTGAAAGCAGGGCTGACTTGGATCCAAATCCATCCTTAATCTCCAATCAGCTTTAGCACAGGATAAAAACCAGTTCAGCTGTGTGTGCTAAGGCCCGGGGCTCCATCAGGCAGTGTCCCAGCCCTTCCCTGGCTGCTCAGGGAGAATCCAGGCATGTCACTGGCACAGGAAGCACTTACAAAGGTGATACCATGTCTGCTTGTGTTACAGTTTCTAACATTCTGTTCTAGCTAATCACTGAGATAGAGAACATGAGGCACAGAATCATTGAGATCCATCAGGAGATATTCAACCACAACGAGCATGAAGTCAGTAAGAGGTGGACGTTTGAGGAAGCGGTAAGTGGGGCTTGTGCGAGGCAGCACCAACAAGTGGTTTGGGAGCAGGGCTGGGAGCTGGGAGTTCTGTGAAACAGCCTTAACTTAAACTGCTAGGATGGGACTGAACAGAGACTCAAAGCTGGAACAGTTTCACTTCTCTGCCATTTTTCTTGTGAAGAGGCACCTGATGATGTAAAGATCCCAGAGCAGTGTTTGGAGAGAGGCAAGGTGCTGTAGTGTTTGCTAAGCCAGTGAGTCCTGGGAGTTAGTGCTGCTCATGCCCTGGGGTGGTGCAAAGGCATGAGGGGATGGAGGGGATTCCCTCTGAAAGGTAAGCCTGTGCTCAGAGGAGAATGAAATTCCTGTGGTTTTGTATTGCAGCATTGCACACTTAATGAGGTAGCTTTTGTTTTGGACCTCCTATGTATAATGGATTAAAAGTAATCAATTAAATAATTTGATCACTGCAAGTATACAGCTTTTGCTGTAGAGTTAGGTTGGATTCTGTTTGAAAAAACGGGAGGTTTTCATTCTCAGTCTTGATATTTTTCTTCCTGCCAAACATGGTCCTTGTTTTAAATTTACTTCTTACTCTAAAGAGTCTGTTGTGTTACCCAGCTGGGACAGATTTTCAGAGACTCTTTACTGGGTTGGGTGATGCCAGAAGTGGTGGGTGATTGACTGCACTGGGTGGGACTGGCTCGACAGCCCAGGAGCTCCCAAGCAGAGTGAGGAGCCATTGTCACTGAGCTCTGTGCCAGTGACCCGTGGCACGAGGGAGCAGAGCAGGCACAGCGTCCCACCTTCCTGCCTTGGGAAGCCTTCAGCTGCCATTCTGTGGGACTTGGGACAACACTGGAGCTGTGGGCATTGGGCAGGAAAGGTGTGGGAAACAGAGTGTCCCCTTGCTGCTGGCCACAGTGTGCTCTTGGTACCGCCAGTGTCTGCTCTGGCACCCCGGGGCTGGGAGGAGCTGGGCCTGCAGAGGTCCATAAAGCACAGCAGTGAGGTGGCTGGGCACAGAGCCCACCCAGGGCTGGGGGTTCCTTAGAGCTGTTTCCAGCAGGAATGGGACTGTGAGCTGGGCAAAATGGCCACAGAGTGTTGGGTTCCACTCCAGAGATCACTGAGGAGCCTGAAGGGAGGGATTGGCTTTAAATTGCAGGTGGCCTTGAAGGATTGGATTCTCCTTAATTACTGTAAGTTCTTCATCCATTTGTATGGGTTTGGATCTGAGAGGAAATTGCAGCACAGGAGAGAGATAATCAAATGCAATAAGGATGGTGAGGAAAAGCAAAGGATCTCTGGCAGGATGCCAGACAAAGCAATTTCAATTTAAACAGAGCAATGCTTAATTTTTTGTGCTGAGCTCTGTCCCACCCAGCCCCTCTTGCAGCCACCAATAACAACACAATGGTGCTAAATTTGTGGTCTTACTATAACCAGATTGATGTAAATATTTGATAGGAAGGCCAGATCAGTGCTCTGTCTTTCCTTGTCATGCTTCTCAACCAAATCCTGAGTTGAATTTGTGGGCTGGGTGTCCCACAGTGGGCACTTCACTTGTGTGGATGGATGAGGGCAGCATCCAGTGTGTCCATAATGTCACTGACACTGGGCTGCCTTGTGTCCTCCCCCAGCATCTCTAAACACTTGCACTCCAAAAGCTCTCTAGGAAAGGAGGTTTCTAGCCTGGAATGGCACTGCAGTAAATCCCTTGATCCATACCTGGGTACCCTGGATTGAGTAGATGAGGTGGTGTCACTGGAGCCCTGATCACTGAAATTGAGGAATTGAGTGTTGGCTGTGTGGCTGTTGATTGTTTGACCCCCACTTGGTGGTGTGTTTGTAATCACCAGTTGCATCCTGTGACTCTTGCAGATCAAGAGGCCTTACTTTCATGTAAAACCTCTGGAGAAAATTCAGCTGAAAAACTGGAAAGAGTACTTAGAGTTTGAGATAGAGAATGGCACTCACGAGCGAGTCGTGGTCCTCTTTGAGAGATGTGTCATTTCATGTGCCCTCTATGAGGACTTCTGGATCAAGGTAAGGGAGGCAGCTCACGGCTCTGCTGGTGCACACCTTGACCTGGTGACTAACCCTTGTACCCTGTGGAACGTTGTTCATCTATAACTATATCTGTTGCATTAGGAGATGGTCTGCTTGCAACCAGATTTGACTGCTGCATTTGCCAACTGCGTTGCCTCTCTACGTCCTTCCTTACAGAAACTAGTCTAGTGGTTCCATAAAGGTGCTGAATGGGTTTAAACAAAAGAATTTTATCGTTCTGGCATGTTCTTGGAGACAAATACAAGCTTTAACCTGTCTGGTCTCTGCTCTGTTTCCAACCCTAGTATGCCAAATACATGGAGAACCACAGCATCGAGGGCGTGAGGCACGTGTACAGCAGGGCCTGCACCATCCACCTGCCCAAGAAGCCCATGGTGCACATGCTGTGGGCAGCCTTCGAGGAGCAGCAGGGTAAGGGCAGCCCTGCCTCTTGTGGGGGGTTCTGCTGGGGAGCTCTGGGGTCTGCCCTGTCCTAAAGCACCTCCCTGCTGTTGCAGGCAACATTGATGAAGCCAGAAGGATCCTGAAGACGTTTGAGGAGTGCATCCTGGGGCTGGCCATGATCCGCCTGCGCAGGGTGAGCCTGGAGCGCCGGCACGGCAACATGGAGGAGGCAGAGCAGCTGCTGGAAGATGCTGTCAGGAATGCCAAGTCCATCAGTGAAGCCTCCTTCTATGCCATCAAACTCGCCCGGCACCTCTTCAAAGTGCAGAAAAACCTGCCAAAGGCAAGAAAAGTGCTGTCAGAAGCCATAGAACTGGACAAAGTATGTGTTCCCTCTCGGCTCTCTTACCCAAAACTCAAACCACCCTGGTGTCTTTCTCTCTCTATAAAGCATTTTGTGAAACATGGCAACAGTGATGACAGGAGTTGTAACTGGATGTAATGTCCCATTACTGCATGGAGACAACAGTCCCTCTAAACTGACGTTGCCAAGGTCCCCGTTCGGGGATCTGGAAGTTTGCACCCTTTTCCCATCAGAGGCACAATGTGCTTTGCACCTTTATTTTAATTTTTAGAATCTTAAACATTGTCAGTGTGTTCAGTGTTATTGGTGTGGGGGCAGTGTTTGGTGGTTTGCTGTCAGCACAGGAATATCTGGCACTCGGATGCTGCCAGCAAAGTGCAGCACCTGAGTTTGTGGTGTTGGTCACTTCTGGTGTGTTTGTGCAACAAACCAGCCCAGGGGGAGGAAAATCCCTTTATTGCCTGTCATTGTGTGTGTTCATGGGGTGATTTGTGGTGTGTGACAGTTAAATACCTGCTGTGAGGGTCAGGCTTGCACCTCCTAATGCCTGTTTTGCACAGGAAAACACCAAACTGTACCTGAACCTGCTGGAGATGGAGTACAGTGGTGACCTCAAGCAGAACGAGGAGAACATCCTGAGCTGCTTTGACAAGGCCATCCATGGGGCCTTGTCCATCAAAATGAGGATCACGTTCTCACAGAGAAAAGTGGAATTCCTGGAAGATTTTGGGTCTGATGTGAACAAGTAAGATGTCCTGTGGGCAGTGGCCAAACTGGGGTCACTGGGAGAGTGCTGGGAAAAGGGTGGGGTCAGTGGCTTCTGTAAAATTATTTCCTTTGTGCCATCAGCTCTTTGTAAGGAACAGCTGCTTTTCTAAACCAACCTCCTGGTGTTAAACAGGAATAGATTTGTAAACAGGAATAGATTTTTTTACAGGAATCTCTTTTTGGATAATTGCCCCTTTTATCTGAAGTGCCCAGCACGTCACTGAGCAGAGCTCTGCTGCCTGCCAGGTGTTGCTGTGGCTGGTTTCCCCTTGCTGAGCCCTGTGAAGGGAGGTGCTCCCCAGGGGAATGGGACAGGTCTGTGGCACAGGTGTCCTTTGTTCCCTGGGAGCTGCTGCTTGTTTCCAAAACTGCACCGGTCAGATTTTTCGGTGTTCAGCACTGTCAACAGCTGTGCACTTCTGTGGAGGAAACACCAGAAATGCAACTTTTAAATTCATTGCTACAATGTATTTTTCCTCTTAATTGTCTATTGTTTTTATTTACATTTTGCAGCTAAATAACCCGGAAGGATTAATGACAAGTCAGTTTTTCTGCTTTGTATGTTTTTAACAATAGCTGTCCTTAAATTCTGCTGCCTCTGCATGGCAGCCAGTCAGTACAAGTTTGGGATCTGAGACAGAGTAAACACAAGGAGTTTTGCAGTTCCCAAATAATCCCAGAGCACAGAATGAGTACAAGGAACTCTTTTCACCCAGAGCACACTGTCAGAAGCTGCAGGTTTTGTGAGATGCTGCAGATGAGGTTATATTTCGACATTTGTGAGAATTTTAGCCAGGACTCTCCTGTGCTGCATTAACCACACTTGGTCTTCCCTGCTGGATGGGCAAAGGCTGTAGGTGCTGCTTTGGGATTGGAATAATTTCCAGTGTTAAACACTGATTCCCACATCTCTGTGCTGCTGTGGGCGGCATCACCAGCAGGCTCTGAAGGAGCAGCTGAATCACAAATCACTTCTAGACAAGGTCTTTATAAAGGAGCTTGATAAAAACTGCATGAAGTGTGAGGGAAGTTGAGCAGGTTGGGAACTGGAGCTGCTGTGAATGGAACTGAGTTGGCTTTCCCCTGTTGGTGGTGGGTCACTCATTAGAATGCATTACTGTGCAGTTTGCTGTGTTGTTAAAGTTTGCAGTAGGCATTGCTCAGGTGCTTCAAAGGCTGGCAAGGCTTGACTGGCTGTGCTCTCCCCAGGCTCCTGGATGCCTACGACGAGCACCAGGCGCTGCTGAAGGAGCAGGAGACGCTGAAGCGGCGGGCGGAGAACGGGTACGGACCGAGCCCCGCTGCCCTGGGCAGGCTGGGACCCTCTGGGGCAGGGCAGGGAGCAGCCTCCCTCTGGGGGGTTCTTTAGGCTGTCAGTGGAGGTGTTTGTCAGCTTTGAACCCACTGACGTGAGAATAGAATCACTTTATTTTAGTCCTTTGAAGTGTGGACTAAATAGAGCTGTGCTGCCTTAAATAATCATAGAACTGTTTGCATTGGAAGGGACCTTAAAGCCCTAAAACCTGCTATGGACAGGCACACCTTCCATAGGCTGCTCAGAGCTCCATCCATGCTGGCCTTGGGCACTTGCAGGGATAGAAGCAATTTTGGAAAATAAGCTTTTGAGTTGTTGAGCTGAGCCAAACAGTGCTGATAAAATGACTCAGTCTCTCAAGAGAAACGTGCCTTTGCTGTCTCAGTTTGAGCACCAGCTTTAAAGCCAGCCTGTTCTGAAGCACATCCCAAACTGTCCTCCCCTGGCCCCAGTTCCCTCACCCCGCTGGGCCAGGGCAGCTGGCTGGGCTCAGTTTAAGCTGCCCAGCGTTCTGCAGGTGCCAGAACAAGGCTGTGTTCCCTTGCAGCTCGGAGGAGCCGGACGAGAAGAAGCTGCTGACGGAGGAGGCGGGGCTGGCGTCGGCGCAGCTCATGGATGGGGACATGCAGGTCAACCAGGCCGCCTACAACTACAACGCCTGGTACCAGGTACTGGGGCAGCCTGAAACTTCCTCCACCTGGGAAACAAACTCAGCTCCTGGGTGCTCCACAAGCGCCAAGTGTTCTGTGTGCAGCGAGGAGCAGTGTTGTGGCTGTCCTGTCCCACAGCGAGGGGACAGCGGGAGGGCAGCAGGGTTGTGGTGTGTGGAGCTGTTCTGCCCAGATTGGCCTTGGGGTGCCCCTTTCCTGTGTGCCTGGATAGTGACTGTCTCCAGGCAGTAATTCCTGCAGTGCCTTGGAATGGGTTCTGTTGGTACACAGCAACAACAAAATCAGCTTGTCCTCTGGGGCTCTTCCTCCAGGGCGTTTTTGCTTGGAATAGAATTATTGAGGGTGGAAAAGCCCTCTAAGACCATCCACACAGCACTGACAAGACCCCCACTGACCCATGTCCCTACTGCTACATCCATGTGTTTTTTAAATCCTTGGACGTTTTGAAGTGGTTTTATGGAAAGTGTTGTTCAGACTGTGCAGAGCCCCCAGAGCTGGGAGAGCAGTGGTACAACTGGGGCACAAGCCCTGGGTAGCCCTGTTAGGGATTGTCTGCAGCCAGCTCGGGAATTGCTTCCAAGGTCAGGCAGTGGGAGGAGTCTCATCCAGCACACACTGTCCAGTGCTAGGCCAGGAAAAACACCCTGACTTTCCCACACAGCACTGCAGGAACGGCAGCCTTGAAGCTGGGCCAGGCAGCTCAGGCTGGAATCAGGGAAAGGTTCTTCCCCAGAGGTGCTGGCACTGCCCAGGCTCCCCAGGGCATGGGCACGGCCCCGAGGCTGCCAGAGCTCCAGGAGGGATTGGGCAGCGCTGCCAGGGATGGACAGGGTGGGATTTTGGGGAGCTGGGCAGGGTTGGGATGATCCTGGGGGTCCCTCCCAGCTCGGGATATTTTGGTTCTGTTGTGGTGAGGATCCATCCTGTGGCAGCGCCCTGTGGTACTCCAGCCCTGCCTTTCCCAGGCTGTTCCAGAGGGAATGGCAGCGCTGTCCTGCATTCCCAGGGGTGCTGTGCTGGGCACGTGGGGCTGGGGGAGCTGCGTGGGCTGTGCCCCCCAGCAGGGACATGGTGCTGATGCTGCTGCTGTGTTTGGTTCCAGTACAACTACCAGAACGCCTGGAATTACGGACAGTATTACCACACAACCTGATCCCTAGAGGGAGTGGAGCTCACTGTGCTGCAGTTTCAACAAAGATGGAAGAAAAAAAAAATTATATTTTTCTAATTTTGGGCTGTGAAGGAACTGTTGTGCCACCTGCTTTTGGTCCTCTGCATGTGAACCGAGCTGCTGCTCACAGGGTATGTGTGAAGCAAGATTCGTGTGCTGGTAACTGATAAATGGTCTCTGTACAATTCTCATTTACCATAAATGATTTTTTTAATTCCCTGCACTAATTTATGGAGTATCAGAAGAATTCTCGTTGGTCTCATGATTCCATAATTGGGTGGGTGAAGCCGTGGGGGTTTGGGTTGGTTTTGCCCCAGAGCTGCTCTGCTGCCTGGCCCTGGCCCAGGCTGGAGCCAAGGCTTGTCCCACTGCCAGCCCCACGGCCAGGGAGCTGTGGTGGGACTGGGGCCTTGGCAGAGCTGCCACACGGGTTCTGTAGTGCGGGAGGGAGCAGGGATTAAACCACCTTCATTCTTTTTTAAAAGCACAAGCTGTGTTTGGGATGAGTTTTGTATTTAGAGTTTTTCATGTACACGGTGTGAGCAAAACTTTTTTCATTTTGATCAAAGTGATCATTCCCATTTTTGTAATAAAAGCGAGGAATTCAGTAGTGCTCTGAGCTTTCTTGGACTGCCTCATTGGAGCCAGGAGGGAGAAGAGAATGCCTGAGTTGAGCTCTGGTGGCGTTCACAGGAACATCTGGGAACACCTGCGGAACAGCCGGATCTCTGCCAGCAGAGCTGCTGTCAAATGGATGGAGCAGGAATGCTGTGGAACAGAATGCTGTGGGATTGTGGGGTTGTAATGCACTGTGGGATGGGAATGCTGTGGGATTGGGCTCCACAGGAGGGAAGGAGCCCTGGCTGGGTGTGGGGCCATGGATCTCCGGAGCAGGAATGCTCTGGGACTGTGGAGTGGGAATGCTGGAGGACTGGGCTCCATAGGAGGGAAGGAGCCCTGGCAGGGGAGCAGAGACACAAAGAAGGGAGGCAGTGGCAGGTACAAACTCTGCTTTAGTGGTGGGGCTGTCACTACAGCAGCGGGGCGGGGACAACACTCAGCGCTCATCTCCACAAAGGCACCGCTGGAACCGGAGCCAGGAGTTACAGCAACGCCAGCAGGAAGCGCTCTGGCAGAAATGGATTCCCAGCAGCACAGGGAATTCTTCATTCAATATCCACCAGCTCCACTTCAAAGAAGAGTTTTGCATTTGGTGGGATCCTGTAGGTGAATGTTAAGGAAACTGAAAGGAAAGAGCCCCTGCAGTGACCCCTCCCTGGGCAGGGCGGCCCCAGCTGCTCCCCAGCCTCCCCCTGCCCTGTGCTCTGGTTGGACACCCCGGATCCAGCAAGGAGCTGTCAGGAGGCAGGGCCAGCTCCACGGACAGCACACCCTGCTCCTCGCCGCCCTGAGCTGCCCCAGCCTCGCCTGCAGGCGTGGGGCAGTGCTGGGGTGGTTACACTGTCCCACTGTCACAGGGGAGAAGTGTCCAGGCAGCCCTTCGGGTCACAGCATTCCAGCACTGGGGAACCATCCCTTCCCCTGCTCCAGAAGGGCTGGGAAGAAGAAACAGGGCTGAATGAAACACTGGGATCACTCCTCCGCCCCCCACTTCAGCTGTGTCCCAGAACCAAGTGTAACTGTCCCTGCTCCTGTTTCCTTACACCGGGTGGAAACAGCAGCAGGTTCCTCCTGCATGAGTTTTTCTCCAAAAGAAGAGGGACACTGCACCACCAGGAAGTGCCCTGAACTCCCTGAGTGGGAATGCCCTGAGCCTGCTGTGGGTAACAGGGGAACCCCTCTCCTGTATCCCTGTCCATACAGCACCTCCTGCCCCCCGCGCTCCCGGGCTCCCTGAGGGATGAAGGATACTTGGCATCGGGCTGCCCCTTCTTGCCATAGGCCCACTCGGGCTCGATCTCCAGCTGGGCCTTCTCTCCTTTGCTCATGGTCAGCAGGGCCTCGTCCCACTGCAACGACAGAGCGGCTCCAGCCAGTGACAGGACAGCGGCCACTGCGCTTCCCAGCTTTTCCTGGAGTTCCTGTGGCTCCAGGAATGCACACAGCCCCAGGGGGACAGCGGCCACTGCGCTTCCCAGCTTTTCCTGGAGTTCCTGTGGCTCCAGGAATGCCACACAGCCCCAGGGGGACAGCGGCCACTGCGCTTCCCAGCTTTTCCTGGAGTTCCTGTGGCTCCAGGAATGCCACACAGCCCCAGGTGTCCTCCCCAGCCCCATGGAACACTCCAGGGGTGTTCCCTGTTCCCCCACCAGCCCCACAGAGCAGATCCGTGCTCCCGTGCAATGGGAGCGCACATCCCATCAGCATTCCCAGCTTCAGAATTCCCCTCCCGGGAGTGCCCAGGGATGGTGCTGTTCCCACTGAGGGAAGGCTCTGGCACCCACAAACCAGGATAAGCACAGGGATAAACCTGGGCCACTGCTGCTGCTCCTGCAGCGCTGGCCCATCCCACGGACACGGCCCCTTCCCAGCTCCAGCCCCGTCCCACATCAGGACTTTGTGCTGCCCAGCCTGGAGCAAAGGAGGCTCAGGGGGACCTTGTGGCTCTGCACAGCTCCTGCCAGGAGGGGACAGCCGGGGGGTCGGGCTCTGCTCCAGGAACAGGGACAGGAGCAGAGGGAACGGCCTCAGGCTGGGCCAGGGCAGGCTCAGGGTGGGCACAGCAGGAATTTCCCCATGGAAAGGTCTGGCACAGATAAAGCCCAGGGAATGCAAACAGGGATGGATGGATGGAGCCCGGGGATCAGTCTCAGCTGCTGTGAGACACTGCCAGGGCTGATCCCAGGGAACAGAGCCTGTGTTCCATGCACTGCCTGAGGAGGGAATGGCTGAGGATGAATGCTCCATCCTCCCAGTGCAATCTGCCCCCAGGAGAAACAGAGCCCAAAAACTGCACCCCAGTCATAAACCACAGAACAAACCTGCCCAGGGACGCTGAGAGAGCCCTGAACACTTTACTTACACCTCGGATCACTTTTCCTACGCCAACTTTGAAACTCAAGGGCTTGGCTGCTTTTTTCTTCTTTGAACCTGGAAAAGAGCTTTATGTTCATTTCACACACGCACACTCCACACTTCTGTAGGAAATGCCATTACAATCATGCTTCATATAAATAGCTGTTCTTCTAATATTATTTTTAGCCCAATATCAGATTTCCAAGGGAAATATTAACGCTGTGCACTAAAAACATCATTAAATGTTCAAGCTGCACCAAAGCACCTTTTAAACCCCAAAGACTCATTCCTGAATTACTCAAGTTGACTGTACAAGTCATGGACATATTAAGGAACCAAGAAAAGTCAAGAGGGAACATACAAGTATGAGGAATTACAGACAGTATTCCAGTGACTCTGGAATACTGTTCCTGAGTGTGGGACATCACTGCTGGGAAAGCCTTTCCAGCCAGTACCGCACCATTCATTTCATACCCCTAAACCCTCTGATCTGTCACAAAAATATTGCACACCAGAGTATTTGAATCCCTCTCATCCCAGTGCCTCCATATTTAAAGATTTACCACAGAACGGCCCCAGGATGTGTTTATTTACAGAAATTCAGGACACTGCTGGTGCTAGAGTTCCCTAGGCACCATCTCCCCTTTGGACTGACTCCCTGCATTCCACATTCCCTGGGGCCCGGAATGCCAGAAGGCAGGGCTGGCAGGATGCAGCCCTGTCACTTGACACCAGCCAGTCCTAAAATACTGCCCTTGCTAGCTCATGGAAAATCAGATCAGGGAGCTGCAGGGCAGCTCAGCACCACCATGATAAAGCTGTTTGTCAGGAATGCTCCCAGACACACTTCCAGGGGCAAACCCCTGCTCACATCTACTGGAGGAGCCCAGGTAATTCCCTCTAGGAGCATTTGCAACCAACCCCAAGAGTTTATCTACACATTTCTATATCCATAACCTTACTTGATTGAATATTGGTATCGAAGACTGTCCCATCCTGCAGCTTTCCTGTGTACCAGCAGTGGACAGTGTCTCCCTTCTTTGGGAAGTTGGTTTTATCACCCTTCTTTAAAATGGATTTGGTATACTTTGGTGGCCCCTAAGGTTATAAAAAGAGAGTTATGACTGGTGGGTTAAATAGTCTCAGATATCCAAGACTGAACAACCACTGAGTTTAAAGAACCAAAGAAGACACTGTTAGTGAATGATGTGTTTATGTTACTGCAAGGCTGCAACATTTGGGGAAAATGCAGCTTAAGGTTAAAGTGGGGTATGGACACCAGATTTCTTGCTGTAACCAGGTTTTTGAAGACTTGGGATCACAGAGTCTCCTGAACTGAAAGGGATCGTGGAGTCCCATCCCTGTCCCTGCCCAGACCCCCAAAATCCCACCCTGTCCATCCCTGGCAGTGCTGCCCAAAGGCTCCTGGAGCTCTGGCAGCCTCGGGGCCGTGCCCATTCCCTGGGGAGCCTGGGCAGTGCCAGCACCTCTGGGGAAGAACCTTTCCCTGAAATCCCCCTAACTCCGATAGAAGCCACCCGTATAATTTGGTTTTCCAGGAGAAAAACGCGAGTCGAGGGCATCACACCAACCTCCTCCACAGCCTCCTCAGCCTTCACCGCCTTCCCCTTGGCCTCCTCCGCCTTGGCCGGCTTCGCCTTCTCCGCCGCCTTCTCGGCGCCGTCCGTGCCCTTGAAGCGCTGCGAGGGGAAGGATGAGGAGCCGCATCCACGGGCCCTGCCCTGCCCGAGCCCGGCTCCGTGCCCGCGCCCTCACCTGCGTGTGGAAGAGCTGCGTGTAAGCCGCGATCAGCTGCTCCTTATTCGCCGTCTTCGCCACGTTCTTCACCTGCCCCAGCAGCTTGTGCTCCGCCAGGAACTGCGGGACACGCGCGCCAAGCGTTCAGGGCAAACCCAAACCCAAACCCAAACCCAATCCCAAACCCAAACCCAAACCTCCGCCGCCGACCGAGCCGCGCCATTACCGCCTGCGCCGCGTGCTCCTGCAGGAATTTGATGATCTCCTTCTTGGCCAGCGCCTCGCTCCGCAGCTCCTCGGCGCTCCAGGGCTGCGCCGGGCCCGCGGCCGCCGCCATCTTCCACCCGCCTGCCGCTCCTCCTCCGGGGAGGAGGGATAGGGGCGGGCGGCGGGAATCAGGGGAGAAGGGAGGCTCCGGAGGCGGTGTGCCGGGGAGGAGGGCTGGGGGAGCAGGGGGAGGCTCCGGAGGCGGTGTCCCGGAGAGGCGGGCAGGGGAGAAGGGGAGGCTCCGCAGGCGGTGTCCCGGCCGTCCCCTTCAGCCCCGGCCGGGCTTCCAGCGGGCTGTGGGGCGGGGTGCTGAGGGAGGGACGGACAAAATGGCGCCGCCTCGGGGCGCGCCCTGAGCGAGGGGAGCGGCAGGAGCTGCCTCGGGCTTGGCGGGCGCCTCAGGGCGAGGGAAGGGTCGGGGCACATCCGGAGGGAGGGCCGGGAGGCGGCTCCGGTCCCGTCCCGTCCCTCTCGGCGGCTCCCGTCCCGTGCCGTCCCGTGCCGTCCCTCGGGGCGGCGGCTGCCGCGGCGGCCGTGAGGCAGGGCTAAGATGGCGGCGCGCGGGGCAGGATGAGCGGCGGGCAGCGCACTCTCCCTCAGGTGTGGCGGGCGCCCGAGGGCACAGGCGGCCGCAGGGATGTCGCGGGCGGCGACAGCGATGACGAGCTGCTGCTGGCAGCCGCGGCCGCGGCCGACCCCGGCCCGCCGCGGGGCTTCAGCGAGGCGGCGGGCTCCATCTGGATCTACCCCACCAACCTGCCCGTGCGCCCCTACCAGGAGCGCATGGCCGGCGCCGCGCTGCTGGCCAACACCCTGGTGTGCCTGCCCACCGGGCTGGGCAAGACTTTCGTGGCCGCCGTGGTCATGTACAACTTCTACCGCTGGTTCCCCTCGGGCAAGGTGCTGTTCCTCGCCCCCACCAAGCCGCTGGTGGCTCAGCAGATGGAGGCGTGCGGCCGCGTCATGGGCATCCCGGGCCGGGACATGGCGGAGATGACAGGTACGGCTCTGCCCGCACTGCGGGGCGTGAGGAGACAAAACCTGAGGGAAAACACAACGTGCTGGGAGCGATGGCTCTCGGTTTGGCCCTAGGTAAAACCCCAAGTCGCCTGTATAAAGGGCGAAACGCTGCGGTGCAGCCACGTGGGTCACTGCGTGCACAGACTGCTCTGTGTGATGCTTGAGCCAAAGAATAATGACACTTTTAACCCACTTTGGAGCTGGTTTTGCCCCTCCTTCTCCTCCCCTTGTCACTTTCCATTCACTCTTTTATGAAGTTTTTGCAGCCCCCCTGAGCTGCAGTTTATTCCTCATTGCGGTAACAGCTTTGATGACTGAACCCATAACCTGTTTTTAGTTCCAGATATTTCCCGGAGGTGTTTTTTAAAATGATGTTTATGGCAATAGGCATCTTCCCAGCCATGATTCCCATGGTTCTGGATTTAATTTTTTTATTGCAAAAAATTAAAATTACTCTTCTTAGTCGTTGTATTACACCAAGGGAAATTTAGGTTGGATATCAGGAAAAGGTTTTTCATGAAAAGAGTGATAAAGTTCTGGAATGTTCTGCCTGGGGAGGTGGTGGAGTCACCATCCCTGGGTGTTTAACAAAGCCGGGATGTGGCACTGGGTGCCAGGGCTGAGTTGAGGTGTTGGGGCTGGGTTGGACTCGATGATCTTGAAGGTCTCTTCCAGCCCAGTGATTCTGTGAATATTCTGTGTTCAGTGAGCATGGGGAGGCTCTGGAATAGAATTCCCAGAGCAGCTGTGGCTGCCCCTGGCTCCCTGGCAGTGCCCAAGGCCAGGTTGGAGCAGCCTGGGACAGTGGGAGGTGTCCCTGCCATGGCAGAGGTGGGATGAGATGGGCTTTAAGGTCCCTTCCAACCCAACCCATTCCATGATTTTATGTGTCTGCCAGCCCTGTCACTGTCAGATCATGGACCACACCTTGTTCTCAGCAGAACAGTTCCCTAACGTTGTTTCTTTAATTTCCAGGAGGCACCCAGGCTCTGGGCCGGCGGGAGCTGTGGAACACCAAGAGAGTCTTTTTCCTCACACCTCAGATAATGGTCAATGACCTCTCCCGTGGCACCTGTCCCGCTGTGGAGATCAAATGTCTGGTTATTGATGAAGCCCACAAAGCCCTTGGCAATCATGCCTACTGCCAGGTAGGGCTGGAGCCACCCCACTCTTCTCTCCCAGTTACAAAAACCTTCCCCAGAATTGCTTCCAGGCTCTCCATACAGCATCACTGTCATTGCTGTGGGGAGATTGTCCTTGAGGTCCTTAACTTTGAAAGACATCCAACATGCCTGTGTGTTGTTATTGCCTTGCTTGTTAGTAATACCTGTAAGGTATTTTTGCAAGGCCTCCATTAAATTGTAATTTTGGTTTAAAACTCGTTTTGGCCGGGCAATGTTAAACCCAATGTTTTTATAAGGTTCTTTAGTCAGTTCAATATTTCTTTTTAAATTTGGGGTTTGTGTTGCTTAGCCAAGACTTTGTTGCATTATTATGGGTTAATCTCCTGAGAGCAATAGGTGACCTAAAAGTTATTTTGATACACTGGGGAAGTTTATTTGATATTTGTGGAGTTCAGATTACACAGGATTAATAATCTGTGAATTACGGTTTTTAGAGTTTTTCTTCAGACTCACTTTTTGACAGCTTACCCTAGTTAATGGGCGTCAATACTTTTGTTAAATCAGGTGAGAAATAACTTCTTAATTTTTCCAGATTGTTCTTGGTACATTTCCAGGATACCCCTGGGTCCCTGGCAGTGCCCAAGGCCAGGTTGGACACTGGGGCTGGAGCACCTGGGACAGTGGAAGTGTCCCTGCCATGGCAGGGGTGGCACTGGATGATCTTCAGGGTCCCTTCCAACCCAAACCATTCTGTAATTCAGTATTTTTGGATTGTTCTGTTAAGCCTTTCTTACTTAGTGGGTATTTTCATTGAGGTAGTTTGTATGAGGCAATAATCTCCTTTAAGGATATTAATGAAGCTTTCCTGTTCTTAGGTTGTGAGGGAACTGAGCAAATACACCGATCAGTTCCGGGTCCTGGCCCTGAGTGCCACCCCAGGCAGCGACACCAAGGTGAGCCAAAGCTGCTTCTATGATGTAAAAAATCAAGGCTGAGTGGAAGCTCTTTTCTTTTCCTGAAGCCTCTGCAGGGTTCTGAGGAATTTCACATCCAGACTGAATCACTTTACAATCCATTACTTGATGAGGTTTGGTGTTTCTCATGCTATAAACCGTCTATTATTTATATATAATGGGATATATAATATTTTATTTATATATAGTGGAGGTGTCCCTGCCATGGCAGGGGTGGGATGGATGGGATTTAAGGTTCCTTTCCAATCCCCAAGTCTGGAATTCTACTTCCTGACCTTTCTTTCAATTTTCTTTGTAGATACTGGGTGCCTTTTCTTTACAATTTTATGTAACTCCTGCTGAAACATGGAAATAGTTACTTTGTTTTTGTGGCTTTACCAGGCTGTGCAACAAGTTATCTCCAACTTGCTGATTGCTCAGATAGAGGTGTGTGCTGAAGATTCCCCAGAAATTCAGCCGTACTCTCATGAGAGACAAGTGGAAAAAATTGTAGTTCCACTTGGGGAAGAACTGGTAGAAATTCAGAACACTTACATCAAGGTGAGTGACTGCATTTCTTTTTTGGTCAGTGGCCAGTGACAGGAAATGTTTTATCATCTCTGTCTAGACTTGCAGTGTTTATAAAGGCAACATTTTCTTATGTAATTAACTTTGATTATAGGGTAAATTAAGCACCATGGTTTCAACTCCAGCAGCTGCAGTTTCATTTTGCACCAGTGGCACCTTTTACCTTGCAGTAACTTGAAAAGCTCAGGTGGAAAACTTGGAATTGAATTTTCCCCACTCTCTTTCTGGAGTCTCTGCAAAATTGTCACCAGTCCTAAACTGAGGTTTCTGCATTTGGCTGAACTCAGTTTTAAGATATTGGGAATGCCTTGAGGAATCTATTTGGACTTGAACATTTTCTCTGATAAATAATATTCTTTAGAGCTTTAAGTCATCTGTGAGTGTAATTAATTCTCCTGGAGGTTTATTTTCTTTATTAGTTTATTTGGCTTATTATTTATTGGCCTATTTCTATTACTAAGATGATGACTTATTTTTCTTTTTCACCAATCTTTAATACCCAAATAAAAGAGATTTTGGGGGGCCTGAGCTGTTTGTCAGTCAGATCTAACTTAGTGATCTGTGCCTTCCCAGGAAGATACTTGTTGGCAAATGATGTTACATAAAATACCACTCTGGAAAGTTTAAAATATCTGCTCTTTTTTTTTTTTTTTTTGTTTAGAGGCATAAAAAGTTAGGATTAAGTTCTATATCAGACTGTTGACCTCAGAGTGTATGTTTTTAAAACAAGCCTGGATGTGGCACTGGGTGCCAGAGTTTAATTGAGTTGTTGGGGCTGGGTTGGACTCGATGACCTTGAAGGTCTCTTCCAACCCAGGGATTCTGTGGTTCTGTGAATTTGGTTAAAATAATTGATTTTGGTGTAGCTTTGTGAAGAGCACTGGAAAGCAAACTTGTGAGTGCATCAGCTGTTTGCAATCCAGTTACCTGAGAGTGTTTAAATGAGGAACTTCCACTGATAAACAGAAACTCTGAAGTAGTTTTGCATCACTGCAGGTGCCTCTGAAGGCTCTGCTGAGTGCAGGGCTTTGTTTTGGGGTGTTTCACTTGGGGTTTAAGCTGTGGTGAGCACCTTGGTTTGGCTCCACCAGCCTTGCCTGAGCTGCCCTGGGGCTGCAGAGCTGTTTCCTTCCTCTGGTCTGGATTTGCATTTCGAGTGCTGCTGCTTTCCTGGAGAGCACAACCTCCAGGAGCACCCATGGCTGCAGGGAAGGTTTGCAGCCTGTGCCGAGGCCAAGCCTCAGTTCTGGAGGCCTCAGCACTTGGGCAAGTGGCTCCTGGACCTCAGCTTCTGGGCCTTGAGGTGACCATTCCAAATTTGGGGCTTAAATGGCTTTTTTTATAAAATCAGAGCAGCATCCCAAGGCAGGAGAGCAAAAGCACCTGTGTGTGCTGCAAGAATGAAAGCCAGGTGTCCTGTGCACAGTAAAACCATTCTTTAATTGTGCCAAACAGTAAACAAGACAACATTTCAGTGTGAGCAAAGGACAGTGTCAGACAGCACAGCACAACAATGCCAGAGGAACGCTGTGGAGATGTCTTTACATACCATAGGCAAGGCCCTGAGTATCACAACAGCTGGAATCAACTTTTTAGGCACTAACTCTGGTTTGGAAAATACACAGTATGCAGGACAACACTTATCTGTTAAGGCTACATCATTTAATCTTCCAAAAATAGGGGTGAATGCTGATTTATTATCTCCTTTCATGAGTGGAAAGCGAATAACTTCACATTAAAACTGAAAATCCACAAGTGGTTCCCAAAGTAGAACCACAGATGGATAACAAAATACCTGTTTGAGGCAATCTTGCCTGACATGATGTTGTCAGATGCGAGTAACATTGATGTTTGCTTGGCATTCAGTGGTGTAACAACTAGATAAACTGTATTTTGTGTCAGCTAAACACTGGAGCTGTGCTCCTGAGGGCCAGTGACAGCTGTTGGTACCAAGCCATGAAGTGTATCTCCAAATTGGAGCTGAAGTAGTTTGGTTTTGGGTTTTTTTGGTTTTTTGGTTCTGTTTTGGGTTTTTTTTGTTTGTTTGTTTTTTTCCTCAGCAGCAGAAGCCATCTAACAGAAGTCAAAATAAATAAATACTATCTTGGGATTCACAGTTTGCCATAAAGAGCAGGGAATGTTGGGCTGCAGGTGGGATGTCAGCACACTCAGATCTGCTTGTGCTTCAGGGATGTTTCTAGAACGTCGCCCACGGGGAGCTGAGCCACGGGAGGGGTTGGCAGGGACATCAGACACAGCAGATGCTTTTGCAGGAGAGGTTTAAAATGTGAATTATATACAAACTGGTGCTCTGTGGTGAGAGGATTTCACTGCTTCCAGGAGCTATCCAACATCTGTTGCACCAAAGCAGCATAATGAGAATTTTCCTCACTGGCAAAAGCAATCAGATGGCAGAAATTTCTTTAATTTGCCATAAAATCTTGTCAGAGATGAAAATTACTTTTATGTGCACTTATAAAAATCCGGGGGAGGATATGAGAACAAAACTTTTTAATGCCTCCCAGGGCCCTGTATTCAACTCAGTTTTAAAAATATTTCCACTGTTTTTCTTTAGTTAAAAGCTTTTAGTTTAATACTGTCTGGCATTTTAAATTTTCCTTCTCCCAGGCTGTGACACTGTATTTAATTTTACTTTATTTGGTTTTTTTCCCCCTCTCCATAAAGACTCTTGGCTTTTTTGTGTTAAAACTAAGGCTTCTGTGTCTCTGTGTTCTGTTTCCTTTTCCCCTCCCCTTGCTGCTTCCCAAGGAATCTCTGTGCCCAGCAGGCACCAGAGGGCACCTTGGCCCTGCTGAAGCCAGAGCCTCTCTGATCCTCCTGCTCAGGGAGAGGTTTTGGGTTGAGCACGGAGCCCTCCCTCCCTGTGGGACCAGGAGGCTTTGGGTTCTTTCAGAACTCCTCCACAAATCCATTTTTGGAGTTGTTAAATCTATTTTTGGAGTTGTTTTTTCACCCTGCTCTGAGCTAGCAGCCACTGGCTCTGGTTGCTGGTCTGTGTGTTGGAATTAAAGAGCACAGAGGTTCTGTTAGAACCCTAAATCCTGTAACCAATAAATAATGCTGGTGATAAACTCAGTGAATTTTACATAAAAAGACACTTACTTCTATCAAGAGTAAACAATACCATCCTGTCAGTAAGGGGAGACGCTAGGGAAGGATTTTGGAGAGCAAAATTGTTTGCTACCCTGACTCTAAAGTGCAGCAGGTGCTCTTGGGCTGTGTGGAACAATGGGAATGCTGCTCCCACACCTTCTGGGGGCTCTGGAATGTGGGAGCTGGGCCTCTGCAGCGAGCCAGGCTGGCTGCTGAGGGCTTATCACAGGGGTGAAGGGCACAACAAACAACAAATTGATACTGGGAAGAAAAAGCTCTCACAGTGAGGGGGGGCAGATGCTGGGGCAGGGCCCAGAGGGGCTGTGGGCTCCCCATCCCTGGGGATGCTCAATCCCAGCTGTGCTGCCAGGAGCAGCAGCCCTGCTCTCAGCAGAGGTGTCTGCCCCAGGTCACTCCCAGCTGAGAATGTGGATATTTGTGGCATTTATGCTATTAACAGCCAGAAGTACTGAGCAATTTACTCCAGCTGCAGTGCTTTAGCACCCAGCAAAGCTGTGAGAATAAAGTGTTCAGAAAACTGCAGTTAAAAATAACCAGTGTCTCCTTAGGAATGGCAGAGCCAGTCCTGGGATTCCTGAGGGGGTGTGATGAGGATAACCTGTAACTCTGCTGTCAACACTTGAATGAGCAGTAGGCCTGTGGTGCCTCTCTCTCCACACTGGGGTGCTTTGGTTGGGAGCTGTCTGAGGTAAGCTTTGGGGGTCTCTGTGCCACAGCTGCCAGCACTGGCCTGCTCTTACTCCACGCTCTAATCCCAGGGGATTCAATGTGGTAGTTCTCCTCAGGAGCTGAGACCTGGACATTCTCTCTGTGTGAGGTGGGTTTGGTGTGTCTCACTGAAAGCCCCCACGGGGCCTTTGTGCAGTGCCAGGGCTCCAGGGTGTCCCCAGGGACCATCCCGAGCCACAGGCAGGCTGGGGATGCCAATAAGTGCACGAGGGAAGAGGTTTCTGCCTCCCGACCTGGTCAATAAGATAGATAAGGTTGGCTAACGTTTCACGTGCTAAAAGCTCCATGAAATCTGTGTGAGAGCTGTCAGAGTTGCCGTAGGGATCCGCGGCTGGGGAGCTGAGCTGGGCTGCTCGTTCCTAACCCAGCTGAGAGCCCCATGCTGGCCGGTGAGGGGGGACGCCTGGGCTGCCCTGTTCACCTGTGGGAGGGAGCAGCTCCTGGCACAGCAGCAGCAGGAGCTCAGGGCCGCTGCAGGAACCAGATCTCGTTGTGGCGGTTGGCGGCCGCCGGGTTGGTGTAGCCGGCGATGATGAACGTGTCCCGCAGGCACAGCTCGGGGCTCTCCAGGATGGCTGCCAGCAGGTTGATCTCTCTCATGATGGAGTCTTCGTTGGTGATGCCTCGGAAGCTCCTGCAGTGGTCACTTCAGATCAGCCTCAGCCTCATCCACAGCTCCCTGACACAGTTTGGGTGGCTCTGCGCCCAGGGAACAGCGGCAGGACAAAAGGGGACAGCCCTAAGCTGCACCAGGGGAGGGTTAGGCTGAACTTCAGGAAAAAGCTCCTCGCAGAAAGAGTGGTTGAGCATTGCAAAGGGCTGCCCAGGGGGTGGTGGAGACACCATCCCTGGAGGCGTTTAAGAAAAGCCTGGATGTGGCACCAGGTGCCATGTCTGGGTGACAAGGTGGTGTTAGGTCATAGGTTGGACTCAATGATCTCAAAGGTCTTTTCTAACCTAGTTAATTCTGTGATTCTGGTTTTCCAGAGCCACTGTGTTCATTTTAAACCCACTGTTTTTCCAGAAATGCCTTCTGAATTACTTGGTGATGTTTTACCAATGTACTGACTGTGATTAATCCCAAACAATTTTTTTGTAAAGTTTTCTGTGCCATGTCAGATACTTTGTTCCTGACTACACAGAATAGTCTGAGGGTGTTTTATCACACATTTACAGATGCATCGTTTTACCAAGTAATTGATATAAATATAGAATAACCTGAGCTGGAAGGGGCCCACAGGGATGGTGGAGTCCAATCATGGCCCTGCCCAGACCCCCAACAATCCCTCCCTGGGCATCTCTGGCAGTGCTGTCCAAAGGCTCCTGGAGCTCTGGCAGCAACAGGCTGTGCCCATTCACTGGGGAGCCTGGGCAGTGCCAAAAACTTTTCCCTGTTATAAATCTGTAACCTTTATTTCCTGACCATGCCATTCATAAAATAGACAGATTTTGTGACTCCTGAAAATGAACTTTTACCATTTGCTACCTTTTACAAGGTCTAAAAATCATAACGTGGCCAGACTGGGAGCTGGATGTTTTTGCCGTGTTCAGCAGAGGGGAATTACAGCATTTCTCACCTGCTGTAGACGATGGTGGCAGGCCACTCCTCGATGATGATGTCGGAGTCGAAGGGGTGCGGGGGCTCGTCCTGCAGCACCTCGGGCAGGTAATAGGCCACGGTCACCGCCTGTGTCATCGCCGAGTGCGCCTCGTTGGTGTGCACGATGGTCACGATGGGCACGGTGATCCCCAGGTACAGCCCTGCCCACGCACAGGAGGAGCTTTGCACGCTGTGACTGCCTCTGAGCTCGTGCTGAGTTGTTTAAATGTTTAAATCCAGGGGGATCAGGAAGGGATTTCACTACGGTGCTTTAGGCAGTGCGGGGTGTACGCCAAGCTGGAAGTAGCAGTGAGTGCCCAGAGCAGCTGGGGCTGCCCCGGGTCCCTGGAAGTGTCCCAGACCAGTGGGACACTGAGGCTTGGGGCAGCTGGGACAGTGGAAGGTGTCCCTGCCATGGCAGGCGTGGAACAGGAAGATCTTCAAGGTCCCTTCCCACCCAAATCTCCTGTGACTCCCAAGATTTCCCTGTGCTTTGTAGTTTGTGTGCATGCAAATGTTTGTGCATTTGTGTCCAAAACACAACATTTGGTGAGCTCTCTCTTCACAGAAGGCCTGAAGTCTTTTCCCACTCCTAAAAGAGAGGTGTTTATCTTCAAACTGACCTTGTGTCATGGTTTAAATATTTGGGAACAAACTGCAGGCAAGAGAAGGGGCTGCTCTGTGAATTCACTGAGGGTTTGCTGTTGTTAAAAATGTTGCAGTAGTTTTTGCACTGTTGTGTGTTCGGACTGCAAGAGGCAGTCCCTTCTGTACAGCTTGATAACAATCCTGCAGTTCTGGAGCTAAAATTACTTTTAAACCACATTAAAGTGTTAAAAGAATGGGGAAGTTACCTGGGGAAGGAAAAGCTTTTGTGATCAATGTTTGTATTTTCTTGGGAAGATACTTAAGGGCTGAGTCAATTGCAGCCCAGAGCACTGAGCTTGGCAAAACTTGATAGTAACTGGAGGATGAAAAATATGAGAACTGATGTCTGGAGGTGAAAACCAGGTTAAATTGGATTGGACACCAGGTGCACATTTTACAGGCAGGCACAAGCTCTCAAGGATGTCATGGATTTGCCATTATTTTGAGCCAAAACTGGATTATTTTGCTGGAAAACGTGCTTCAACCACAAATTTGCCGAGTCCATTGGGACAGGGACAATTTAATACCTTGAACTAAAGGGAAAGAGGCAGAAAACTCTGCTCCCTTTTGGTATCACACTCTGCCAGGTGATTTCAGTGCTGCTGTGAAAATGAAACCCTGAAAGTCCTGTAGGAAATGCCAGAATTACAGCAGAGAGCTTGGAGCACCTGGGACAGTGGGAGGTGTCCCTGCCATGGCAGCGGTGGCACTGGGTGGGATTTAAACTCCTTCCAACCCAAACCATTCCAGGATTTCTATGATTTTTCTGGGAAGGCTGTATCATGGACAAACATCCCTATAGGGTGTGTATTTGGGAAAAGCTGTTCAAAGCATCTCCCTAATTAGGAGAGAGGGCAGAAATACAATTTTCCAAGTGCTGTGGGCTCGAGGTGTCCATTACCTGAGGAGTTCTGCTCGCAGATGTACCTCATGAGCTTCATGAAGCCAAGGCAGATGCTCTGCTCGTACTGCTTCTCTTTCATTTTGATACAAGCCCACTTGGCTTTCCCATACTGCCTCTTCTCATAGAGCAGATCTCCCAGCTGCAAACACGCAGAGAAGAATTTGGGATTGTAGTTTAATCATCTAAAAGCATCAGCCAAAACAGTAAATACAAGATGAGCACAAGAACTGCATCTTTTCAGCTCTCAGTGACATGACCTTGAAAGAAACATGAATTTTAATCCTTCCTCCTATAAGTCAAGGAATACACTGCTGATTTTGGATCAAAACTGACTTCAGCAGATTTCTCCTTCAAAATAAGGATCTGTCATCTTTTGGAGTGGCAATATTAAACATTTAGTTGCAATTAACACTGAATAACCTTATTTTTTAGCTGTAGTTGTTACAGTAATACTGTAACATTAAAAAACGCATTCAACATAAACAGTCAGGAGTCCCAAACTTCATTTAAATGCACTTGAGTGTGTTTGAATGAAACACACTGAAATGATGGCATTTATAAGTGTGAATTATTTTAATCTATTTAAAAGAAATGTGGCCAAGAAGTCCTCATAAATGGTCACTAAAGGTTTTCATGGTTTTTGATTTAAAGTTAAACATTTGTTTGCACATTTCCTAAGCTGGAAGCAATTTGCTGTACATTAGTTTCAGTTTTTTATTAGAGAATAAGATGGGTCTATAAATTGCTGCTTTGTTTCATAATGATATGTGATATAGAAGTACATTTTTGGTTTCAAATTCAGATATTCATCTCTTTCATGTACTCTTTGCTAAGCTTTTATCAACATGACTGTAAAGGAGCAAATGCACTGATTTACATGAAGAAAATGGACAATTTAATTCAAATGGCAAAGTAAGAGGGGTTTTTCTTAAATTAATTATGTCTCAAAGGCTGTAATTCTTGGCCATCTTCTGGCTTGCCTGATAGCTCCTACCTTGCAAAAAAGAAAATCACACATGTAGAAGGGATGAGACGATGCAAATGAGAGGGAGTGGCACAGTTACAATGCTTTGCACCCGATGTTCAGAATCCCAATCAGTTAAAAGGCCTTTCTAAGGAGTTAAAAGTTTAAAGTTCTAAGGAGTTAACAGTTAAAAGCCTTTTCTAAGGAGCCCCGTTTGTGAGAGCCAGGAATGGCAGCCCTGTGCAGCTGGGAGGGGCAGCAGTACCTTCTCCTTGCGCTGGATCAGGGTGAAGGGGATGCTCTGCCTCTCCTGGGGGTTGTTATTCCTGGTCAGCTGCTGGATGGGCTCTGCCATGTCTGCAACAGAACCACACAGTTCCCACGTGAGACTCCAGGCACGAGGCTGAAAGTGCTCCATTCCCTTGGGGTCTTGGTCACTGCTGTTGTTTGCCCTTCTCTAGGCCAGGAAAAAGGAGCCATTACCTGGGCTCTGCCCCTGTGCTGGCAGGAACAGGCTTCCCTCTCCCATTCCCTAAATTTCCAGCTACCCAAGTGTCCATGGAAAGCTTTTGGCTGGGCCCCATTTCCTGGCCCTGCACAGGGGACATTCCCAATTCAGCAGCTCTTGTGCTGTTGGGTTCAGGTGCATCCACACGAAGGAAGTTAGGTTGGAGGCTCAAGGAAATAGTGCTGTGGGAATGAATTTCCAAAGGATGTTTAATGTCTAAAGTTCTAACTGTGGTTGCCCTGACATCAGTTCTAGCTGAAGGTCATGAATAAATTCTGCTTAGGAGTTGATCCCTGACAGACTGGCTTGGAAACTGTGGATCCAAGGCCAGTCTTGGGCGTGGAACTTCTCTCTTCCACGAGAGTTGGTCCCCTGCCTTCCAGAGCTGAAGTGAGGAAGGCATTTGTGTACTTAGAGGATTAGAAATTCGATTTTATGTGCAGTGTTTGACAGCCTGGATGTGAATTCCTGCTCTGCTGCCCCATGGTGTGTGCTGGACATGCAGGAAAAAGAGGAGTTTCAGCTCCCAGAGCCCTTTTTGGGGAGTTTGAGGTGTCTCAGTGGAAGAGGCAGGATAATGGGGGAAGAGAGTATTATCCATGTTTGAGAGGAGAGGAGAATTAAGATGCAGGAGAATTAACTTGGCCGAGGTCACTCAGTAAATCTGTAGCTGAGCTGGGAATCAAACCTCCATCTCCTGGCATCCAGTCCAGGGGTTTAGCCTTAAGACTATTTGGAATAGTAGAGATCCTTAAACAAATGGGAGGGGAAAAAAGCTACATTGTAGTTAGGTGTAAACATTTTTTCTTTGCAATATATCACTGGGAAATATTTAAAATGTAACTAATAACTTACATGTAAATGGATCTCTTTGGAGACTGAGGGAAAAATAAAAGCAGATCAGAGTTCAGCACTGAATTTTCCTAGAATTAGGAAAGTTTTCAGGACTCTAAGAAAGTTAACTCTATTTTTAGAATACTTTATCAATTAGTGGGGTGGTTATGCTTTTTTGCATTCTATATTAATGCAGAGGATGAGGATTACAACTGATTAAAGTCCTTTGGGGAGTTTTATCCTTCAGTTTATGAATCTGTGCTTTGTGTTGTCCCACTCTGGAGATCCCCACCTGCACAGGGCAGGCAGCAGCAGAGGGACAAGGACAGCTGTGTTTTCTCAAGGCATGGTTTCAGTGATGCACAGGGATCAGCCAGTGCAGCCCTATCCCTATCCCTGCCCAGACCCCCCAAAATCCCACCCTGGGCATCCCTGAGGGTGTTGTTCAAACCCTCCTGGAGCTCTGGCAGTCTCAGGGCCGTGCCCATTCCCTGGGGAGCTTTTCCAGTTCTGATTCCACCCTCTGGGGGAAGAACCTTTCTGAAAATTCACCCTAAACAACCCCTGGCTGTTCCCTGGGTCCTGTCCCTGTCCCAGAGAGGCAGGGACACGAGCTGCTCCTTGTCACAGGGGGTTCATCCTTCTGGAAAATCCCCTCCTCCTTCAGCCCTGGGCAGGACCTTGTATTACTCTAAAACCTTTGTATTATTCTATCTTTATTTTGTAGCATGTGCTGAGTGCCACAGAGCAAAGCTGTAATACTGTAAAGCTGTGTAACTAAAACCTGGTCACACACTGCTTTTGACATATTCCTTGGATTTTGTATCCCTCCTCATGGAATTTAGGAATTCCCTGCCAGGCACCAGACCAGCAGGTAATTCTGTGGGAAGGGCTCTGGTTTTCTGCTGCTCTCAGGAGTGTCCTGGGGATCCCGGAGCTGTCAGATTCCAGCACTCCAGACACAAACCCCTGGCTGCTGGAGGGAGCACAGACACTCTGGGGTGGCACTGGGCCTCCAGAGACCCCTCCAGGGGCAGGGAGCTCTCTTCAGACCCATCTTACCCTTCTTTTAGCACATTAATTGTCATGAAAGCTTTACAGAGTTAAGATGAGACTTCAAGGTGTGGCTGGCAAAGGATGGACTCTATTTGCTGGGTTGGAATATAGAAAGAGTTTTTAAAGAACAGTAATTTAATACTGGTCATGTCCAGTGCAGCCTGGGCAAGGTTTGGCTCTCCCCACCTCGGGGAAGGTGAGTTACCTGCAGGGCAGAGATGCTGCAGATCTCTGCTGCTGTGGCCAGGGCAGGGCAGAGTTAAAGTCTGGCCGAGCTGAGCCTGTGGTGGCTCTCTGCTGTTAGGAGTTCTCTGACTCATCAGTCTTTCAGATTCTCCAGGCTTAAAATTGAAAACAACGATTTGTGACTGAGATGAGCCTGGGAGCCTCGCTGTCAAAAGCAAATAAATTCTTCACTAGTTTACTCTGTGCCATTTTTAAACACGGCCCTCCTTCCTTAAAGAACTACATCGGGGCTATTTTTACGAAGAATGCTTTTGCAGGTAGTCAGGTTAATATTTAATTAGCTCTGAAAACTTGCACTGATTGGTTTTAGTGTGAAATTAGGTCTGAAAACTCGCGCTGATTGTTTTTACTGAGAATGGATTACTTAATTATGTCTGAAAAGTCGCGCTGATTGTTTTTAGTGCAAAGAGATCACTTAATTAGATCTGAAAATTCGCGCTGATTGTTTTTACTGAGAATGGATTACTTAATTAGGTCTGAAAACTCGCGCTGATTGTTTTTAGTGCAAAGAGATCACTTAATTAGGTCTGAAAACTCGCGCTGATTGTTTTTAGTGCAAAGAGATCACTTAATTAGGTCTGAAAACTCGTACTGATTGTTTTTAGTGCAGAGAGATCACTTAATTAGATCTGAAAACTCGCGCTGATTGTTTTTAGTGCAGAGAGATCACTTAATTAGGTCTGAAAACTCGCGCTGATTGTTTTTAGTGCAGAGAGATCACTTAATTAAGGCTGAAAACTCGCACTGATTGTTTTTAGTGCAAAGAGATCACTTAATTAGATCTGAAAACTCGTACTGATTGTTTTTAGTGCAAAGAGATCACTTAATTAGGTCTGAAAACTCGCGCTGAAAACAGTCAGTGCGAATAGGTCACCCCAGCGCCGCTGCAGGCGCTGCCCTGCTTGCGGAACGCTTTGCATCCCCTGGGCGATGCTTTAGCTGCTTCAGAGGCAGCCCCCGGTGGCCCCGGCTCCCGCAGCCCCGGTCCCGCATCCCTCACCTCGGGGCACATCCACCTGGTGCCCCCGGCCCACGCTCTGCCAGTAGCTCAGCAGCCGCTCCTGCTCCTCGTCGTCCATGCGCTCGGCCGGCTCCTCCTCCAGGCTGCTGCCGTGGCTGTGGTACGCCGAGTCGGGGCTCTCCTCGGCCAGCCCGTCCAGCTCCTCCAGCGTGATCGCGGCCGGGCCGCCGGGCCCCGCGCCGCCCATGCGGCACCCGCCCGTCTCCATCGCTCTCCGCGCCGCGCCGCGCCCGGGCTTATCTAGGGACCGGCACCGGGCGGGGGCAGCGCGGGCACCGCCTCTGCCCGCCCAGCGCCGGGCCGGGCATCTGGGAATGCATGGATGGAGGGATGGGTACCCGCCTCTGCCCGCCCAGCACGGGGCTGGGCACCTGGGAATGCATGGATGGAGGGATAGGTACCCGCCCAGCTCCGGGCTGGGCACCGGGCATGGAGGGATGGAGGGATGGGTACCCGCCTCTGCCCGCCCAGTGCCGGGCCGGGCACCGGGCATGCATGGATGGAGGGATGGGGGACCTGCCTCTGCCCCCAGCGCCGGGATGGGCACCTGGGAATGCATGGGTGGAGGGATGGGTACCTGCCTCTGCCCGCCCAGCGCCGGGCTGGGCACCTGGGAATGCATGGATGGAGGGATGGGTACCTGCCTCTGCCTGCCCAGCGCCGGGCCGGGCACCGGGCATGGAGGGATGGAGGGATGGGGGAACACGGGCACTGCCTCTGCCCGCCCAGCGCCGGGATGGGCACCTGGGAGTGCATGGATAGAGGGATGGGTGCCCGCATCTGCCCGCACAGCACCGGGCATGGAGGGATGGAGGGATGGGGGACCTGCCTCTGCCCGCCCAGCGCCGGGAAGGGAAGGATGGAGCCCAGAATGGGGGACCCGGGCAGGGATGGATAGAGCTGGGGGTGGAGGGATGAGAGACCTGCCTCTGCCTGCCCTGCATCAGGCAGGGATGGATGGAGCCTGGGATGGATAGAGCTGGGGATGGAGGGATGAGGGACCCAGGCAAGGATGGATGGATGCCCGCTCCTGGTACCTTCACCCCGTGCTGCAGGAACCGAGCAGAGCTTACACAATTTTGTGTTCTGGCTGTTTTCCCCACTGCTCTTCATGTCCTGTTATTCTTTATTGTGGTTTTATTTTGCTGCCTTCAAACTACACTTTAAAGATAGATCTTTGACTTTATTTAGGAGATCTCTGAGGTCTTGCCAAAATATTAGGAATGCAAAAACTGGGATATTTTGTCACTGCAGTCCAGCTTTGGAAGTTTTCAGCTGTGTAATTTTGCTGCTGCTGAGACAAGCCTTTGAACGAGGGAGATGAGCAGCCCTGTTATGGGATAGATATGGCAATTAAAGCAGGATCTGGAGTCTGTGTGGACTCTGTTGTCTTTTATTCAAAATTTAACATGGAATGGTTGTTGTGGCCCTTTTTGTGCAGGTAGGAAAGGGAATCCTGGGGCATTTAGGGGTTTAGAGTAATAGGAAAATAATCCTTTCCTGCGCACTGTTCCAGGGAAAGCTGGAGGTTGGGGATGTGACTTGCGATGCTTCATCTGCCCCCTCTTTTCTCCCTTTTTCTGGGCAGTCCCTTCCTCCCGGCTCAGCTTTGGCTGCCCAGCACCAGGGGCTGAGCTGGCTGTGAAAATGAACCCCGAATTGCCTCAGAAGCTGAGGTGTGCTAGTCCTGATGTGCTCCTGGCAGGGCAGACCCAAATCCTGCTGTGCTTGGAAGTGCTCCATGGGGAATTCACAGCGGGAGGCACACTGGGAATGTCCTGAGAGGGTTTTTGGGGTGCAGGGGTTGCAGGGAGTGGAGCACAGGTCACTGAGGGGGGTTTGGGCTCTGGGCTGTGAATCAGCACCAGAGGCTCTGGAATTCACTGGGAAGGCAAATCTTGGAGCAAGGCTGGAGCTGGTGCTTGTTTAAGTGTCTGGCTGGGTGCTGATCCGATTTCACGGGCAGCTGCCCCAGAGCAGCACCACGGGTCCCTCACTGCAGGGAATCCTCTGGCAGGGCCCACACTTCCCTCTCAGACCTGGCTGAACCCTCAGCCCCTGAGGGGAGGCACAGTGGGAACCCGTCCCTGCCCCAGGTAAATCCCACATCACACACTCCAGTGCTGAGCATGAAGAATTTTCCACTGAATTTGGGCAGCTGGGTTATCAGTACAAGGGAGGGCATCCTGGAGAGTTCTTCCAGGAACTGGCATTCCTGTTTGAGGCATTGTGTGGATGTTCTTTTTCTGCCCATTCTGCATAAATAATTAATGGAAAACACAATTCATGGAGTTCGTTCAAAAGAGTCCCAACTCTTTTGCTTACACATTAATTATGAGAATTAATAGTTGCTTAAATGAAATTATTTCTAAGTATGAAGCATCTTTGCTGGAGATGAATGAAAAGACAAAGAAAAACCAACCACCAGAAAAAGAGTTTAAAATCACAGCTAAATTTCTCTATATATGTGAAATGCCACAGAATATTGACTGTGAGAAAGAGGCTGGGAGGAGTTTAAAATTCTGTTTTAAAAATCCATCTGTAAACATTACTCTGTGTGTATTTAATTTGTTTTTGATTCCCAATGAGCTTGGTAATTACTTAATTTGATAGAGTATTCAAGATATGATGGGCTGTGTCTGGATAGATAACAGAGGAACTTGTTACTGCAGGTGTAAAAAGCTGATTTTTTGTTGTATTTGTTGTGGGTTTTTTTCCCCAAATTTGTTAATTTTTGTGTATAACTGCTGGCTAATAAACAGGCACTCTTTGAGAAAACACAGTTTTGGTAGTGCTGTGTTCTCTGTGCATTCCTGGCAGGTTCTATTTCTGAATAAAACAGAAAAAATTATATTCAGCCTTTAAAAATTACAGATCAAAACCATCCTCAGTGGATGGATGCTCCTTTCTGTCTGATAGTCACTTACTGAGTGGTGGGTTGATGTAGAAAAGCCACTTCTCTTTTAACATTTCTCAGTAAAAAGTAAAATTGTCCATGGCCAAATCTCATTTAACATTTTTCAATAAAAAGTAAAATTGTCTGTGGTGAAATTAGTTGAAAAGTAAAAACTGAAGGTCTTGTTTTATAACCTTTAGGAAAGGAAAAATGCTGTAACAGGAGAAAACTCTGTTAGAAAATAACGAAGTATTGGATTTGTTGGCTTCCAGGGACAAACAGTGGATTTTCATTGTGTCTCATGTCCCTGGAAGATTGGGAAGGGTGTGAATGAGTTCATATAAACTTAAACAAAACTTTGGTGCCAAGATCATTACTGGGCTGAGCAGTATTGGGTTTGGAGAGTGACAGGATCAGCTGAAATCCAGCCTACCCTGCTGTGTCCTGCTGCTTTCCTTCCTTTATTGGCCAGGTGAGAAAACATCAGGAAGGAATTGCACAAAATGCACTTTTCTGCCTGGTTCAGAGTTTGTCACCACTCTGAAGTTTTACAGGAGAATAGCTAAAACTCAGTGCCAGTCAGAGCTCCAGAGCCTCCCCAGCTGGCAGACACTGAACGTGGTTTTCTCCTGGAAGTTACTTTTGGGAATACTGGCTGCTGCATGGACACTCCTCAAGGTACCACACTTGGGGAACCCAAACCTTGCTGGTTTCAGTGTGAAACAGCAGGGAATGCTCTGGATCTTCCCCTGCCCTTCCCTGGAGCAGTGGGAGGCTCTGGCTGCGTTCACACTCCCTGCAGGATCTCTGCCCTGGCCACAGCCCTGCTGTGGGTCCCCTCCTGAGCCCCATCTGCACAGGGCCTGCTGGGCAGAGCCTCCTCCTGCCCTGCCCTGCCTTCCTTGGCTCTCTTCCTGGGGAATGTGAGCATCTGGAGCAGCTCAGTGTCCATGAGGTGCACGGCCAGCACGGATCTGGGTTTGTCCTGGAGCTGTTGGTTGTTCCCTGCTGCTGGTTTGGGGGATGCCCTCAGGATGGAGCAGGGGGTTGGGGTGTGGTGCTGCCTCACTGGCACTAGCTGGGCTCCTTTCCTTCACACCAGCTCAGCCCCAGCACGCTGGGAAGGGATCCCTGGACAGCCAAGGCCAGGTTGGACACTATTGTAAATGCAGGTGAACCCAATGGGAAGAAATGCCGATGTGTGACTCAATTCAGAAGGCTGAGTTATTTCTTTATTATAACTATGCTAAATTACATAATATATCATATAAAAGGAGGATACTAAAACTACATACTACTTTCTCTGACTCTAACCCAACTCGTTCCCCTCTCTGAGTCCAGCCCCAGGTGGGTTGGATTGGCCACCAGGCTCAAACAATCCTCACCAGAATCCAACCAAGCAACACCCCAGGGAAACAATTCTCCAAACACATTCCACATGGGAAAAACAAGGAGCAGAAATAGAAATTGTTTTCTCTTTCATTTCTCTCTGTGCACCTCTATGAAAAATCCTGAGAGGGAGAGAAATGTGCTTGCCACAGGACACAGGGGCTTGGACACCCTGGGACAGGGGAAGGTGTCCCTGCCATGGCAGGGGTGTGGTGGATGGGATTTAAGATCCTTCCAACCAAAGCAGTCTGGGATTCTCTGTTGAACACTGACAGTGCGGGAGCCAGGGGATTTGGAGGAAGATGCAGCTCTCCTTCAGCCCAGTGTGGCTCTGTAAAACCCAGTCTAAAATCCCTCTTGGGAGAGGCTGGGAACACTTGGGGAGTTCCCGAGGAGGGGATGCACCTTTGGAGTCCCTGTTTGTGGAGGACCTGTCTGCTTGGCAGCAGGTTTCTGCCACCCCTCCTTCTCCACTGGGAAAGAAAAGCCACTCTAACAGTTATTTATGGGTGTTTTTCTTTGGGAAAGAACCCCTGCAAATCTGCACTAAAATAATTAGGTCAGGGCGTTAGTTTAAAGCCTTGTTTTTTATTGTGCCAACAGAAAACAGATTAGGAGCAGTTTTTAGTGAGGTGTAGCTGGCACAGGAACAGCTCTTTGCCCTGTACACAAGCCCTCAGCTCCTGTCAGAGCTCCAAAAACAGGTTCTAAGCTCATCATGGGCTCCAAGAACTCGCTGCGGTTTGCTGTGGGAGATACCTCAGAACAGAGGAAGCCTTTGTGCTCTTGGCAAGTTCAGTGCAGGATGGGATAACTCTGCCAGTTGTCTTTTATCTGCTGGCTGTAAATCTGTCAGCTCTGAGCTCCAGCCACTGAGCTGGAGAAAGCCACGAGTGCTCCTGAGCAATTAATCGGAATTAATTCTACGGCTGTGTTTGGGTAACACGACACTGAAGTGT